TTATGTTTCCTAAGAAACCTTCTGGATTTCAAATTCTTGCAAAATAATCTGTAATGTAATGCACTTTTTGTATGTTACCTTTAACTAATAAATGCATTTTAATGCATATTTTTACCCTGCCCCATGCATTCTTGTACACATTACTTGCCTGGAGAGCAGCACTGCAACATTCAGTGAATGTTGAATTCAGGAAGGGCTGATATGTTCCAGTTGGTACAGCATTTTGTTTCAGAAAGTGAGAAGTAGGTAAATGGGCTTTAAAATGATAGCTGAATCTAATTTCTCCCTCATCTCTACATCAGACTGGATTTTTCTTCCCATTGGCTTTCTTCATCATTTCTTGAAGTTCCCCTCCCCAATATTTAGGGCTAACAGATTCAGTGAAATGTCTAACATCATTTTCCAAAAGGCTTAGGACAGCAGGCAAAGGAGAGGATACCAGACAGACCAACGCACAGGGACAAAAATATAGTAGAGGGACATAACATTCAAAAAGGTCTCTTTTAGGAAATAATTAGATGTTTTCCAGCCCACATCAAAGATTTTTTTTTCAATTGTGATTTCAGTTACAGTATAAAAATTTCCCAATGAGAAGGGACAGGGCCCCCGCGGCCCCCCAGAAACACCTCCCCAAAGAACAGTATAATGAAGGGAGCCCAGAATAAATTCTACCCCACACCTGGGCTCTTTGATTTAGTTTCAGATTCCCAGAAGACATGAACCAGAATCAATCAGGATACGACCACATGACTAAATGTTAAAAAATAAATAATTCTTTTTTTAAATTGAAAAGTCACAATGAGGATTGGATACTTACTGGAGATCTCTTCTTTCTCTGTTGTTGTTTTACAAAGGGAAACAATGGGTTTTTTTTAGATTTTTGCTTTTTTCTTTTTCATATATTTTATCATCAAATATAGTTCAAAGAAAATACAGAAAAGATCAAATTGTTATTTATTTCTATTCACAACCCATTTCTGAGTATATCACAGGAGAAACACATTATACTTGTTTCTGTTCACATCTCTGTATTAGAAGTGACTCTCAACATACATGAGGGTTATGTTCCAGGGACAACGCATAAAGCCAAAATTTTGCTATAATCAGAATACATTCTCCCTGCACCTCCAAACACTCTCCCCTAAGGTAGGGTTAACAAAGTTTCTCCCCTCAAACGTCCGCCCCCTTATTTATTTACGTTTTGCCAAGTGAGTAAGCTGAATGTGCATAAGTTAAGTTGTGAGTTACCAGTATGAGATAGAAACTTGTGTTCCCATTGATGTGCACTTAGACCCCATGTACATTAAGATGCAATTGAAGTCCTCAATTCCCGCTAGAAATCCAGATTTCTCTCTCTCCTGGCTGTTCTGCAAGCTGCAGTTTCCGGAGGCAGCACTACCTGCTCACATTATGCTGAAAACTGTCTCATTGCTTATCCGTAATATATGCACGGTTATCAATCTATCAAAAATATGTATCAAATAGCATATTTTTTTACTTTTACCAATAGGCAGCATTTCCTTATATTTCCATATGCTACATATTAAGATCCAAAGAGACACCTGAAACTCTGAGGGAAACTGAGCAACTCTGTTGCTTTAGTACCAAACTCTTCAAGATCTAATACACACCATGAATCCAACACTACTACAGAAAGAAGAGATAATTCAGCTGCAAAGGGTTCCTTCTACAATAGGCTGCTTAGAACAGAAGAATCAATTGCTTATCATATTCTTCTCTGGCTGGGATCATATTCTGAGGCAGAAAAGAGCTTCCTCCTTGCCTCCCTCCCACCTTCTCAATATAGATTATATAATAAATACATAAAAGTTCCACAATACTCACGCCCAGTACTTTGGACAAATCAAGACCCTAAATTGAAAAACAAATTTAACTTATTAGGCTTTCAGGTGCCCTACTTTACAGATGACAGTCTTTGAAAGTAGATAACTGAAAACAGACAGACTTCAATAAAAATGTGTTCTCTTTTGAGGGGATGCCTGGTCCAAGTCCAGATCTTTCCCAAAAATCCTTGTGTATTTTCCCTTCCAGGACAATAGTATTTTGACACAAATTAAAAGAGGATGCCACGGAAATCAGTTTCCCAAAGCAAAAGGACAGGAACAGAATCCAATCTGTGGTTACACAGTAAGAGAATTTTAGAGCCTGGACTGACTGGCCTGGGGCAGGAAGACATCTGAATCTCAGGAGGAAACTCACTTTGATCTTCAGAAAAGGTCTGGCTCTGGTTTGCATCACTAACTGTGTTGTTGTTGGTGAGTGTGAAAGAAAGGGCCTTTTGGGTGGTTATGCCCAGTCTTTGTTTCAATGTACATTTCAGGAAGAGATAAGTTACTATGTCTTCCACGTTTCTCATTGCTGCTGTAGTTTGGGGGGTTTGTTTCATGTGTTTCCTTTGCTTCACGGATTCTAGCTTTTATTACAGCTGTTAGCAATACTAAGGGACCTTTTCCAGGAAGGATATGTGAAATATGAACATTTTAATACAACTCAAATTACATGGGGTTCAAGAGATAGAACACTAAGAGAATTCAGATACTCCAATTATTCATGTGACATTCAAACTCCAATGTTGCCAAAAGCTTTACACCAACAGGAAACCCAAGACTTGTCATATGAAGTGACAATATACAGTACAGTAGATCTGCAATTGACATGGGCGTCATGTTTCGGGGGGTTACGTACAAAGGCAAAACCATGCAAAGTCAGGAAGGCCCCATGGAACCATTCGCTCAAGGCCTGCTACTACCTTGCCAGACTCTGTGGGAGGCTCCTGAGAGATATGAAGGGATGTCAATCCAAGTCCAGTTACATATTACACTATCTTGGAGACACCTACAATAAGACATCCCAGCTTTTATTTCCTTAATGTTAGCAATGAATGTAGGGAAGCAGCAAATAATAATCAAATGCTCTTCACAAATGCCTACCGATAAAAAAGAACAATCATATTAACTCTGTCTGTTCTTCCCTGGCTTGGATCATATTTTGAAAAAGAGAAGAACTAAATGGAAATAACAAGTTGAACTTCCTATGTTTTTGTGCTAAATTTTATAATTCTCTGCCTGGGTATCAAAACTTGCCTGCCTGTAACAAATGGCAAACATTATAGCCCAATGAGTTCTTCCCTTGCTGGGATCATCCTCTGACCACCTTCCTTCCCTTCCTGCTTTCCATTTTCACACTACATACAATATAATAATCATTCAAAGGTTTCACAATACTCACGCTCAATAGACCTTGCAAACCCTACAGTGAAAAACAAATAAAACTTGTTAGGCTTTCATGTTGTTTGCGCCCCTTATAATCTGCAACACTTGACAGAGCACAATTGTTTATTCTGAAGAACCATCAGTACACAGTCCACTATATAAAAGTGTCCTCTGAGAGAATATGTGGCCAAATTCCAGTTTAAGGATACAGGGCGCAGCAGATTATATCTAAAATATAATCTTTCAAAATTCCTGCCTTTGGGAAGGCAATGCATTTTTGCTCTGTGAATTCTTCCCTGGCTGAGGTTATATTGCGACAGAGAATAACTTTTCCTTTCTTCCTCAACTCCACTTTCCCACTAAAAAGAAAACAAAAAAATCTCAATACTCACTGCCAAGTCTCCATTCGCATCAGCACGCTAAATTGAAAAGCAGATTGAACTGATTAGCAAATGGTATGGGAGATCCAGTCACAGATATGACACGTAACACATAATTGGGTCAATATCAAGTACTAACAAGAATTCTTTCAAAGCGTTAATTCCATCACGCCACAGCAAGCTATAACTCGGCTTTGGAACACGTTTTTAAAGAAAAAGCCTCACTAGCTTTACAGATATCTTTTAAAGAAAAACTTTTAAAAGAAATTCCTGAAGTAACTGCTGATCATAGTTTTACAAGTGTACCCAATATTAAACAAAAAAATTGGATGACATGAGTAAAGAGTTGGATCAGCTTTGAACATGGATGACTAAGTTTCATTTCAGACAAGGATTCCGCATTTTCATGTAGGAAAGATCAAAATAATACAGACAAACAATCAGAATGATTCAGGCTCACGTCAGTTATCGCTTGCCATCATTTTTTAGCAAACTTCCTTTCCATGAATTCTAAAACCATCCGAAAGAGGCGTCCCCTCTAACAAGCCAGGCTGAGTAAATTTGATGTTAGAGTTCACTCTCCTTTTCCGATGAGGTTACCAAGAGCAGATAACAGGTAACTATCCAAACTTGCACGGACAAAATAATAGTGGAGTTGAGCATACAAGGAAAATAAAACTTTTCTGAACAAAAGAGAAATCAGCTGCCCAAAACAAAGATATATAGACAGAACTGCGGGGATTTAGAAAGGCAAATTTAGACCCTGGATGGACCTAAAATTGCATTTTGCAGGGGGAGGTTCAAACAAAACAGACCATATAGGTAGTACACAAAGACTTCAAAATACTCACTTCCAGTGTCGAATGCACCTGAGGATCCTATATTGAAAAGGAAATGGAATTACTTGGGCATTATGTACTATTAACACTATGTCAGGTGCCCACCTATACAGAGGAAAGCCATCTACTTTGAAGGGTTGTCAGCTATTTAAAAGTGCTCTCTATATGAAGGGAGATCAAAGTCCAGATACATATGAATCACTGCTTGGGGAGATCTACAATGAGACGCCCCAGCTTTCATTTCCTTAATGGGAGCTATGAATGTAGGGGGGCAGCAAATGATTTGACAAATGCCTAGCTTTAAGAAAGGGCAATCATATTAGCTCTGTTTGTTCTTCCCTGACTCGGATTCTATTATTTTTTTTTGGGGGGGGGGAGAACCTACTCTTTTCTTTCGCCGCCTTCCTCCTACTTTCCCATTATGGACTACGTAGACAAAACAATGGTTCACAATACAAACATTCACTTTCTCAACAGCACACTAAATGGAAATAAATGGAACGTTCTCACTACAAACCATAGAATAACCATAGAAAGCTTTCACAATACTCACTTTCAACAATTGATCTACAACCTACAGTGAAAAGCAAATTGAACATATTAGGCTTTCATGTTCTTTGCACGACATATATTTTGCAATACTTGACACAGGACAATTGTTTATTCTGAAGAACCATCAACAAAGTCCACTGTGTAAAAGTGTCCTCTGTTTGAGAGAATATTTAGCCAAAAGTCCAGGATTTTAGCCCATTTCCTTCCTTGAATCTTTCCATACCTTCTGGAAAAGAGGGCTGGCAAATAATATTAGTTGCCAGCCAAATGGCAAACATTATCGCCTAATGAGTTCTTCCATGGTTTGGGTCATCTATGAGTCACAGAAGAGTTCCTCCTTCCTTCTCTCTCTTCCTCCCATTTTACTGTAACAAACCATATCGTAAACACACTAAGCTTTCGCAATACTCACTTGCAGTTTCTCTGGCAGAGCAAGTTTCTAAGTAGAAAAGCAAATTGAATTTATTAGATATTAGTGTCTGGCCAAAGTTCAGTATTTATGGATACATAAATGTAAAAAATGAGACCTGCAGGGGGCAGCAGATTATATCTGAATATCTAAAAAAATTCATTGCTTTAGGAAAGGGCAAGCATTTTAGCTCTGTGAATTCTTCCCAGCATGAGGTTATATATTTTAACAGAGAATAACTTTTCCTCTCCCCTCCCCGAACTCCCTTCCACTTTCCCACTACAAATCATATAGGAAACCCGCTCAAGAATCACAATACATTCATGGCTGCATTCACATCAAGACCCTAAACTGAAAAGCAAATCGAACTGATTAGCAAATGGTATGGTGGGAGATCCAGTCCCAGGTGTGCCACCTAACACATAGTTTCATCCTCAAGCAGGAATTCTACCATTTCATGTGGCAAAGAACAAAATATAAAGGCAAACCAACAGAAACTGATTCAGTCTCACTTGTTGTGCAGTTGCCTTCATTTTTGCCAATTTCTTTTCTTGAATTCTTCCATACCTTCTCGAAAGGAGGCTCCCTTTCTAACAGCCAGGCTGATATATTTGGTATGGAATTCAGTCTCCTATTCATTAAGGTTAGAAGAGGAGGTAAAGGAGAGCAGACTGTCCAACTTGCAAAGACAAAGTAATAGTGGAAATATTTGTATGACCTTTCTTGGACATTCAGCCTTCCTTCCCTCCCTTCCTCTCATATTACTACTACAGACCATATAGTAATCACACAAAGGTTTCACGATACTCACTTTCAACGTGTCTCCCAAACCAAGTTTCTAAATAGAAAAGCAAATTGAATTTATTAGACAAGTTATTTGGAAACCTTATAATTTGTGCTACTTTACAGAGGACAATTGTCTTTTCTGAGGAGCCATGAGTACACAGAACTCTATGTAAAGGTATCCTGGCCAAAGTCCTGTTTTAGGATACAGAAATTGGAGACTTGCAGGGCCCTCCTGTTTTGTTTCTCTTTCTAGTTCTTGCCCATATTGAGGATCATATCATAGCATGAAAGGATGCTATATGAATATTTGATGTTTCAAAGCCTAGTGGAAAATGGCATGGTGGGAGATATAGACACTGAAATGGCACATAGCACATAGTTTCATCCTCAGACAGGGATTCCCTCTTTTCCTGAGGGAAAGATCAGAATAAATAAGCAAACGGATCTAAAGGCAGTCTCACATGTCTTCATTTTAGCCAATCTCCTTTCCTGGGTAATTCCATGGCTTCCTGAAAGGAAGGTCCCTCTCAAGTAACCAGGCTGATAGATTTGGTGTGGACGTCACTCTCCTTTTCCATTAAGGTTAGAAAAGCAGATGAAGGAGAGTTGAGTGTCCAATGGGCAAAGACAAAGTATTAGTGGAGATGGGGCATAACATGGAAAATTTGAAAGTGCTTTCAGGAAACTGCCTGGAGGTTCAGCTATACTAGTTACCAGCTAGGTCCTGCTTACAGACCTTTCCTTTAAAAAACACCTTTATTAAAAACCCACAATTCTTATTTCCAGTACAACAATTTTCTGAAGAGAAGAGGATGCCTTTGCCCTAGGCGATCAGCTGCCCCCCAAAAGGATATGAAATTAGAGCCCAGGATGTGGGGGTTCAATAAAGCAATTTAAATTCCTGGGTGGGCCTAAAATTTAATTTATTAGCTAGTCTTTACTCAACAGCTAAATCATTCATCACCGAAGTGCCAGAAATAGGAGACTTCAGCATTCAAAAGGCAGAATTTTACCATATTTTCATAAACTGCGTAATAAGATCCAAAGAGATACCAGAACGTCTAAGAAAAATGTGATCAAGCTTGTTGCTTTTGCACCAAACTTTTCAATATATTCTTTCTGGAAATATAGACTGAATCTAACACACACAAGGATTGAACAGTACTATGAAGAGAAGAGATAACTCAACCAAACAAAGGTTCCTTTTGTAGCAAACTGATTAGAACTGGAGAACAGATTGTCATATACTTCCCTGGCTGGGATCATACTTTGAGGCAGAAAAGTACTCGCTCTCTCCCTCCCTCCCAGTTTCCCACTCCAGAGCATACAATAAATACACAAAAGCTCCACAATACTCACGTCCACTAAACCAGACACACCAAGACTCTAAATTGAACAACAAAATGAACTGATTAGCAAATGGCATCGTGGGAGCTCCAGGCACAAGTATGCCACACAACATAGTCTTATCCTCAGTCAGAGATTTTCCACTTCATGAGGGAAAATGAGAGTTTACAGGCAAACCATAGGAAACTGATTTACTCTCACGTGCCGTATAGCTGCCTTCATTTTAGCCAATTTTATTTCCTGAGTTATTCCATACTTGCCTGAACCTCTAAGAAAAAATGTGATCAAACTTGTTGCTTTTGCACAAACTTTTCAATTTATTATTTCTGGAAATGTAGACTGAATCTAACACGCACAGGGATCGAACACTACTATGAAGAGAAGAGATAACACAGCCAAACAAAGGTTCCTTCTATAGTAAACTGATTAGAACTGGAGAACAGATTGTTTGTCATTTTCTTCCCTGGCAGTGATATCATATTTTGAGGCAGAAAAGCCCTCCCTCCCAGTTTCCCACTCCAGATCCTACAATTTACAGGCAAACTAAAGAATTTACAGGCAAACTAGGGATAGAAGAGCAGATAAAGAAGAGCAGACCGTCCAACGTGCAAAGACAAAGTAATAGTGGAAAATGTGTAAAAGAACAACAACAAAAAGTAACTTATGTAAAATTTGAAAATATTTTCACGGAATTGCTTGGACATTCTGCTATGCTGGTTGCCAGCCAGTAGGATAATATAAGTTATTGATGAGGCTAAGTTTTATAATTCCTTGGTTTGGAATTCAAACTTCATTGAGTAATAATGCCTGCCTTTCACAAATGGAAAACATTATAGGGTAGTGAATTTCACCCCCAGTGGGATCATCCTATGAGCAACAGAAGACCTTCTACCTCCTACTACAAATCTTAGGGTATGAAGATTTCTCAATACTCACACTAGTTGCTCCACCCAGAAGCTAAATTGAAAAGGAAATTCAACTTGTTAGTCTGTCATGTTCTCTTAACTGCTTAACATGTGGAAATGTCATGTAACACATATTTAGGTTCTAAGGCAAGGATTCCCCTATTCACCAAGGAAACATCAGAAGAGAAAGGAAAAGCGATCTGAACTAATTCAGTCTCATGTGCATCACAGCTGCCTCCATATTAGTCATTTTTCTTTACAGAGCAATTCTATAACAAAGGAGAAGAGGCCGACCAAATTGCAAAGAGAAGGAAATAATGGAGGTGGGGCATAATGCGGAAAATCTGAAAACCCTTTTCAGAAAAATCATTGGGGTGTTCATTTGGGTATACTATTTGCCAGCCAGATCCTGCTCCCATATGTTTCCTAAGAAACCTTCTGGATTTCAAATTCTTGCAAATAATCTGTAATGTAATGCACTTTTTGTAGTTACTTTAACTAATAAATGCATTTTAATGCATATTTTTACCCTGCCCCATGCATTCTTGTACACATTACTTGCCTGGAGAGCAGCACTGCAACATTCAGTGAATGTTGAATTCAGAAGGGCTGATATGTTCCAGTTGGTACAGCATTTTGTTTCAGAAAGTGAGAAGTAGGTAAATGGGCTTTAAAATGATAGCTGAATCTAATTTCTCCCTCATCTCTACATCAGACTGGATTTTTTCTTCCCATTGGCTTTCTTCATCATTTCTTGAAGTTCCCCTCCCCAATATTTAGGGCTAACAGATTCAGTGAAATGTCTAACATCATTTTCCAAAAGGCTTAGGACAGCAGGCAAAGGAGAGGATACCAGACAGACCAACGCACAGGGACAAAAATATAGTAGAGGGACATAACATCAAAAAGGTCTCTTTTAGGAAATAATTAGATGTTTTCCAGCCCACATCAAAGATTTTTTTTTTCAATTGTGATTTCAGTTACAGTATAAAAATTTCCCAATGAGAAGGACAGGGCCCCCCGCCCCCCCAGAAACACCTCCCCAAAGAACAGTATAATGAAGGAGCCCAGAATAAATTCTACCCACACCTGGGCTCTTTGATTTAGTTTCAGATTCCCAGAAGACATGAACCAGAATCAATCAGGATACGACCACATGACTAAATGTTAAAAAATAAATAATTCTTTTTTTAAATTGAAAAGTCACAATGAGGATTGGATACTTACTGGAGATCTCTTCTTTCTCTGTTGTTGTTTTACAAAGGGAAACAATGGGGTTTTTTTTAGATTTTTGCTTTTTTCTTTTTCATATATTTTATCATCAAATATATTCAAAGAAAATACAGAAAAGATCAAATTGTTATTTATTTCTATTCACAACCCATTTCTGAGTATATCACAGGAGAAACACATTATACTTGTTTCTGTTCACATCTCTGTATTAGAAGTGACTCTCAACATACATGAGGGTTATGTTCCAGGGACAACGCATAAAGCCAAAATTTTGTATAATCAGAATACATTCTCCCTGCACCTCCAAACACTCTCCCTAAGGTAGGGTTAACAAAGTTTCTCCCCTCAAACGTCCGCCCCCTTATTTATTTACGTTTTGCCAAGTGAGTAAGCTGAATGTGCATAAGTTAAGTTGTGAGTTACCAGTATGAGATAGAAACTTGTGTTCCCATTGATGTGCACTTAGACCCCATGTACATTAAGATGCAATTGAAGTCCTCAATTCCCGCTAGAAATCCAGATTTCTCTCTCTCCTGGCTGTTCTGCAAGCTGCAGTTTCCGGAGGCAGCACTACCTGCTCACATTGTGCTGAAAAGTGTCTCATTGCTATCCGTAATATATGCATGGTTATCAGTCTATCAAAAATATGTATCAAATAGCATATTTTTTTACTTTTACCAATAGGCAGCATTTCCTCATATTTCCATATGCTACATATTAAGATCCAAAGAGACACCTGAAACTCTGAGGGAAACTGAGCAACTCTGTTGCTTTAGTACCAAACTCTTCAAGATCTAATACACACCATGAATCCAACACTACTACAGAAAGAAGAGATAATTCAGCTGCAAAGGGTTCCTTCTACAATAGGCTGCTTAGAACAGAAGAATCAATTGCTTGTCATATTCTTCTCTGGCTGGGATCATATTCTGAGGCAGAAAAGAGCTTCCTCCTTGCCTCCCTCCCACCTTCTCAATATAGACTATATAATAAATACATAAAAGTTCCACAATACTCACGCCCAGTACTTTGGACAAATCAAGACCCTAAATTGAAAAACAAATTTAACTTATTAGGCTTTCAGGTGCCCTACTTTACAGATGACAGTCTTTGAAAGTAGATAACTGAAAACAGTCTTCAATAAAAATGTGTTCTCTTTTGAGGGGATGCCTGGTCCAAGTCCAGATCTTTCCCAAAAATCCTTGTGTATTTTCCCTTCCAGGACAATAGTATTTTGACACAAATTAAAAGAGGATGCCACGGAAATCAGTTTCCCAAAGCAAAAGGACAGGAGCAGAATCCAATCTGTGGTTATACAGTAAGAGAATTTTAGAGCCTGGACTGACTGGCCTGGGGCAGGAAGACATCTGAATCTCAGGAGGAAACTCACTTTGATCTTCAGAAAAGGTCTGGCTCTGGTTTGCATCACTAACTGTGTTGTTGTTGGTGAGTGTGAAAGAAAGGGCCTTTTGGGTGGTTATGCCCAGTCTTTGTTTCAACGTACATTTCAGGAAGAGATAAGTTACTATGTCTTCCACGTTTCTCATTGCTGCTGTAGTTTTGGGGTTTTGTTTCATGTGTTTCCTTTGCTTCATGGATTCTAGCTTTTATTACAGCTGTTAGCAATACTAAGGGACCTTTTCCAGGAAGGATATGTGAGATATGAACATTTTAATACAACTGAAATTACATGGGGTTCAAGAGATAGAACACTAGGAGAATTCAGATACCCCAATTATTCATGTGGCATTCACACCCCAATGTTGCCAAAAGCTTTACACCAACAGCAAACCCAAGAGTTGTCATAGGAAGTGACAATATACAGTACAGTAGATCTGCAATTGACATGGGCGTCATGTTTCGGGGGGTTACGTACAAAGGCAAAACCATGCAAAGTCAGGAAGGCCCCATGGAACCATTCGCTCAAGGACTGCTACTACCTTGCCAGACTCTGGGAAGGTCGTGCAAGGCCTCTGGAAGGCTGTGGGAGGCTCCTGAGAGATATGAAGGGATGTCAATCCAAGTGCAGTTACATATTACACTATCTTGGAGACACCTACAATAAGACATCCCAGCTTTTATTTCCTTAATGTTAGCAATGAATGTAGGGAAGCAGCAAATGATAATCAAATGCTCTTCACAAATGCCTACCTTTAAAAAAGGGCAATCATATTAACTCTGTCTGTTCTTCCCTGGCTTGGATCATATTTTGAAAAAGAGAAGAACTAAATGGAAATAACAAGTTGAACTTCCTATGTTTTTGTGCTAAATTTTATAATTCTCTGCCTGGGTATCAAAACTTGGCTGCCTGTAACAAATGGCAAACATTATAGCCCAACGAGTTCTTCCCTTGCTGGGATCATCCTCTGACCACCTTCCTTCCCTTCCTGCTTTCCATTTTCACACTACATACAATATAATAATCATTCAAAGGTTTCACAATACTCACGCTCAATAGACCTTGCAAACCCTACAGTGAAAAACAAATAAAACTTGTTAGGCTTTCATGTTGTTTGCGCCCCTTATAATCTGCAACACTTGACAGAGCACAATTGTTTATTCTGAAGAACCATCAGTACTCAGTCCACTATATAAAAGTGTCCTTTGAGAGAATATGTGGCTAAAGTCCAGTTTAAGGATACAGGGCGCAGCAGATTATATCTAAAATATAATCTTTCAAAATTCATGCCTTTGGGAAGGCAATGCATTTTTGCTCTGTGAATTCTTCCCTGGCTGAGGTTATATTGCGACAGAGAATAACTTTTCCTTTCTTCCACAACTCCACTTTCCCACTAAAAAGAAAACAAAAAAATCTCAATACTCACTGCCAAGGCTCCATTCGCATCAGAACGCTAAATTGAAAAGCAGATTGAACTGATTAGCAAATGGTATGGGAGATCCAGTCACAGATATGGCAAGTAACACATAGTTGGGTCAATATCAAGTACTAACAAGAATCCTTTCAAAGCGTTAATTCCATCAGGCCACAGCAAGCTATAACTCAGCTTTGGAACACGTTTTTAAAAGAAAAGCCTCACTAGCTTTACAGATATCTTTTAACGGAAAAACTTTTAAAAGAAATTCCTGAAGTAACTGCTATTATAGTTTGTACAAGTGTACAAAATATTAACAAAATTGGATGACATGAAGTAAAGAGTTGGATCACTTGACATGGGATGACCAAGTTTCATTCTCAGACAAGGATTCCGCATTTTCATGTAGGAAAGATCAGAATATACAGACAAACCAATCAGAACTGATTCAGGCTCACGTCCAGTATCGCTGCCATCATTTTAGCAACTTTCCTTTCCATGGTAATTCTAAAACATCCCAAAAGGAGGGTCCCTCTCTAACAGCCAGGCTGGTAAATTTGGCGTAGGGTTCACTCTCCCTTTCCATGATGGTTACAAGAGCAGATAACAGAGTAGACTGTCCAACTTGCAAGGACAAAATAATAGTGGAGTTGGAGCATACAAGGAAAATAAAACTATTTTCTGAACAAAAGAGAAATCAGCTGCCCAAAACAAAGATATGTAGACAGAACTGCGGGGATTTAGAAAGGCAATTTTAGACCCTGGATGGACCTAAAATTGCATTTTGCAGGGGGAGGTTCAAACAAAACAGACCATATAGGTAATACCCAAAAACTTCAAAATACTCACTTCCAGTGTCGAATGCACCTGAGGATCCTATATTGAAAAGGAAATGGAATTACTTGGGCATTATGTACTATTAACACTATGTCAGGTGCCCACCTATACAGAGGAAAGCCATCTACTTTGAAGGGTTGTCAGCTATTTAAAAGTGCTCTCTATATGAAGGGAGATCAAAGTCCAGATACATATGAAACACTGCTTGGGGAGATCTACAATGAGACGCCCCAGCTTTCATTTCCTTAATGGGAGCTATGAATGTAGGGGGGCAGCAAATGCTTTGACAAATGCCTAGCTTTAAGAAAGGGCAATCATATTAGCGCTGTTTGTTCTTCCCTGACTCGGATTCTATTTTTGGGGGGGGGGGAAGAGAACCTACTCTTTTCTTCGCCGCCTTCCTCCTACTTTCCCATTATTGACTACGTAGACAAAACAATGGTTCACAATACAAACATTCACTTTCTCAACAGCACCCTAAATGGAAATAAATGGAACGTTCTCACTAAAACCATAGAATAACCATAGAAAGCTTTCACAATACTCACTTTCAACAATTGATCTACAACCTACAGTGAAAAGCAAATTGAAAATATTAGGCTTTCATGTTCTTTGCACGACATATATTTTGCAATACTTGACACAGGACAATTGTTTATTCTGAAGAACCATCAGCACACAGTCCACTGTGTAAAAGTGTCCTCTGTTTGAGAGAATGTTTAGCCAAAAGTCCAGGATTTTAGCCAATTTCCTTCTTTGAATCATTCCATACCTTCTGGAAAAGAGGGCTGGCAAATAATATTAGTTGCCAGCCAAATGGCAAACATTATCGCCTAATGAGTTCTTCCATGGTTTGGGTCATCTATGAGTCACAGAAGAGTTCCTCCTTCCTTCTCTCTCTTCCACCCATTTTACTGCAACAAACCGTATCGTAAACACACTAAGCTTTCGCAATACTCACTTGCAGTTTCTCTGGCAGAGCAAGTTTCTAAGTAGAAAAGCAAATTGAAATTATTAGATATTAGTGTCTGGCCCAAGTTCAGTATTTAAGGATACAGAAATGTAAAAAATGAGACCTGCAGGGGGCAGCAGATTATATTTGAATGCCTAAAAGAATTCATTGCTTTAGGAAAGGGCAAGCATTTTAGCTCTGTGAATTCTTCCCAGCATGAGGTTATATATTGTAACAGAGAATAACTTTTCCTCTCCCCACCCCGAACTCCCTTCCACTTTCCCACTACAAATCATATAGGAAACCCACTCAAGAATCACAATACATTCATGGCTGCATTCACATCAAGACCCTAAACTGAAAAGCAAATCGAACTGATTAGCAAATGGTATGGTGGGAGATCCAGTCCCAGGTTTGCCACCTAACACATAGTTTCATCCTCAAGCAGGAATTCTACCATTTCATGTGGCAAAGAACAAAATATAAAGGCAAACCAACGGAAACTGATTCAGTCTCATGTGTTGCACAGCTGCCTTCATTTTAGACAATTTCCTTTCGTGAATTTTTCTTTATCTTCCCAAAAGGAGGGTCCCTCTCCAACAGTCAGGCTGATACATTTGGTGTGGAATTCAGTCTCCTATTCATTAAGGTTAGAAGAGTAGACTGTCCAACTTGAAAAGAAAAGTAATAGTGGAGATGGGGCATACATGGAAAATGTGGAAATAATTTTATGAACTTGCTTGAAAGTTCTGCTATATTAGTTGCCAGCCTGCTCCTGTTTGCAGACCTTTCCTAAAAGCCTTTATATTAAAAAAACAAAAACCCAAGATTCTTATTTCCAGTAGAACAATTTTCTGAATAGAAGATGATGCCAAGGAGATCCGCTACCCAAGACAAAGATATAGAGACTGAGCCCAGGCTGTGAGAGTGTAGAACTAAGGCAATTTTAGACCCTGGATGGGTTTGGCAAATAATATTAGTTGCCAGCCAAATGGCAAACATTATCGCCTAATGAATTCTTCCATGCCTTGTATCATCATTAGAGTTCCTCCTTCCTTCCCTTTCTTTCTCCCATTTTACTACTACAAACCATACAGCAATCACACAAACGTTTCACAATACTCACTTGCAACTTCTCTTGCAGATCAAGGCTCTAAATAGAAAAGGAAATTGAATTTATTAGACATTCATGTCTGGCCAAGGTCCAGGATTTAAGGAAACAGAAGTGTAAAAAAGGAGACCTGCAAGGGGCAGCAGATTATATCTGAATGCTTAAAAACTAAATTCCTGGCTTTGGAAATGGCAAGCATTTTAGCTCTGTGAATTCTTCCCTAGATGAAGTTATACATTGTGACAGAGAATAACTTTTCCTTTCCTCCCCATCTCCCTTCCACTTTCCTGCTATAAATCATATAGAAAACCCACTAAAGAATCACAACACATTCATGGCTGCATTCACATCAACACCCTAAACTGAAAAGCAAATTGAACTGATTAGCAAATGGTATGGTGGGAGATCCAGTCCCAGGTATGCCACCTAACACATAGTTTCATCCTCAAGCAGGAATTCTACCATTTCATGTGGCAAAGATCAGAATATAAAGGCAAACCAACAGAAACTGATTCAGTCTCACGTGTTGTGCAGTTGCCTTCATTTTTGCCAATTTCTTTTCTTGAATTCTTCCATACCTTCTCGAAAGGAGGCTCCCTCTCTAACAGCCAGGCTGATATATTTGGTATGGAGTTCACTCTCCTACTCATTAAAGTTAGAAGAGCAGATAAAGGAGAGCAGACTGTCCAACTTGCAAAGTCAAAATAATAGTGAAAATATTTGTATGACCTTTCTTGGAAATTCCTCCTTCCTTTCTTCCTTTCCTCTCATAATACTACTACAGACCATATAGTAATCACACAAAGGTTTCACGATACTCACTTTCAACGTGTCTCCCAAACCAAGGTTCTAAATAGAAAAGCAAATTGAATTTATTAGACAATTATTTGGAAACCTTATAATTTGTGCTACTTTACAGAGGACAATTATCTTTTCTGAGGAGCCATGAGTACACAGAACTCTATGTAAAGGTATCCTGGCCAAAGTCCAGTTTAAGGATACAGAAATTGGAGAAGGGAGACTTGCAGGGCCCTCCTGTTTTGTTTCTCTTTCTAGTTCTTGCCCATATTGAGGATCATATCATAGCATGAAAGGATGTTATATGAATATTTGATATTTCAAAGCCTACAGTGGAAAATGGCATGGTGGGAGATATAGACACTGAAATGGCACATAGCACATAGTTTCATCCTCAGGCACTGAAGTGAAGGAGACTTCAGCATTCAAATGGCAGAATTTTACCATATTTTCGTAAACTGCGTAATAAGATCCAAAGAGATACCAGAACGTCTAAGAAAAATGTGATCAAGCTTGTTGCTTTCGCACCAAACTTTTCAATATATTCTTTCTGGAAATATAGACTGAATCTAACACACACAAGGATCGAACAGTACTATGAAGAGAAGAGAAGACTCAGCCAAACAAAGGTTCCTTCTGTAGCAAACTGATTAGAACTGGAGAACAGATTGTCATATACTTCCCTGGCTGGGATCATACTTTGAGGCAGAAATGACCGCTCCCCGCTTAAAACGGGGGGCGCCCTTTGCGTGGACGCGTGCAGCCCTGGATCTGGAGTGGCCCCATCAGCATAGGCTTTGCCTTCCCTCAGGTGGGATACCTGGAGGTCCCCGCCTACCTCAGTGAGTTGTCCAATCCCACCTGGGGGAAGCGTTGCCAGGGAAACCAGGCCAGGTAGGGGGACGGATTACCTGCCCACACAATAGAGGGAGGATCTTACCTGGTAATCCTCACTTGGCTCCAGAGCTTCTCCCACCCTACCCACCCTCAGTTAATGTCTTCTTTTGCAGGTTAACTTTTCTTCATAGGTTTTGCAGGTTAACCTTTCTCCACAGGTATGCGGGCGCTGCTACGATAAGGTCGCTGTTAAAGGGCCGGAAAGGAATTTCCCTGCATTGGCAGGTTTCGCCTTTCCCGTAGCAAAACGTCACAACTTTGGCGGTATCAGGCCTTGGGCGGATTCCTTTAGTCCATCTTCCTCTTTGCGGCGGCGATACCAGGGTTCCCCGTTAAAGGGGGTTTCTGAAGGGAGGCTTTGACCGTACGCCGAAAGGTCGTCATTGCTCTCCCCTGCGGCGGCGGTGTAACGGGGGCGGCTGTCTCTGCTTGAACATATGTTCTTCAGAGCCAGCCCATCCCCCCACACACACACTGGATAACCCTGAAGCTCCCTAGGTCCCCAGCTGGGGACTGGGGAGGGAGAACGCCCAATGCCTGAGCCAAGGTCACATTTGAAATTTAATAAAGTTGTGGCCAATTTAATCCCATAGCACGTTGTCTAGAGTCGTTATTCCACATGACGGGGGGGGGAACCACTCGGGATCTGGGGACTCCGCCTGTCCACGCAAAGTACTCGCTCTCTCCCTCCCTCCCAGTTTCCCACTCCAGAGCATACAATAAATACACAAAAGCTCCACAATACTCACGTCCACTAAACCAGACACACCAAGACTCTAAATTGAACAACAAAATGAACTGATTAGCAAATGGCATCATGGGAGCTCCAGTCACAAGTATGCCACACGACATAGTCTTATCCTCAGTCAGAGATTTTCCCACTTCATGTGGGAAAATGAGAGTTTACAGGCAAACCATAGGAAACTGATTTACTCTCACGTGCCGTATAGCTGCCTTCATTTTAGCCAATTTTATTTCCTGAGTTATTCCATACTTGCCTGAACCTCTAAGAAAAAATGTGATCAAACTTGTTGCTTTTGCACAAACTTTTCAATTTATTATTCCCTGGCAGTGATATCATATTTTGAGGCAGAAAAGCCCTCCCTCCCAGTTTCCCACTCCAGATCATACAATAAGTACACAAAAGTTCCATAATACTCATGTCCACTACATCAGACAAACCAAGATTATAAATTGAACAACCAATTGAACTGATTAGCAAACTGCATGATGGGAGCTCCAGCCACCACGTAACACAGTTTTATCTTCAGGCAGGGATTCTCCCACTTCATGTGGGAAAATGATAATTTACAGGCAAACTAGGGTTAGAAGAGCAGATAAAGAAGAGCAGACCGTCCAACGTGCAAAGACAAAGTAATAGTGGAAAATGTGTAAAACAACAACAACAAAAAGTAACTTATGTAAAATTTGAAAATATTTTCATGGAATTGCTTGGACATTCTGCTATACTGGTTGCCAGCCAGTAGGATAATATAAGTTATTGATGAGGCTAAGTTTTATAATTCCTTGGTTTGGAATTCAAACTTCATTGAGTAATAATGACTGCCTTTCACAAATGGAAAACATTATAGCGTAGTGAATTTCACCCCCAGTGGGATCATCCTATGAGCAACAGAAGACCTTCTCCCTCCCACTACAAATCTTAGGGTATGAAGAATTCTCAATACTCACGTCAACTTTTCCACCCAGAAGCTAAATTGAAAAGGAAATTCAACTTGTTAGTCTGTCATGTTCTCTTAACTGCTTAACATGTGGAAATGTCATGTAGCACATATTTAGGTTCTAAGGCAAGGATTCCCCTATATCAAGGAAACATCAGAAGAGAAAGGAAAAGCGATCTGAACTGATTCAGTCTCATGTGCATCACAGCTGCCTCCATATTAGTCATTTTTCTTTACAGAGCAATTCCATAACAAAGGAGAGGAGGCCGACCAAATTGCAAAGAGAAGAAAGAGTGGAGGTGGGGCATAATGCGGAAAATCTGAAAACCCTTTTCAGAAAAATCATTGGGGTATACTATTTGCCAGCCAGATCCTGCTCCCATATGTTTCCTAAGAAACCTTCTGGATTTCAAATTCTTGCAAATAATCTGTAATGTAATGCACTTTTTGTATGTTACTTTAACTAATAAATGCATTTTAATGCATATTTTTACCCTGCCCCATGCACTCTTGTGCACATTGCTTGCCTGGAGAGCAGCACTGCAACATTCAGGGAATGTTGAATTCAGAAGGGCTGATATGTTCCAGTTGGTACAGCATTTTGTTTCAGAAAGTGAGAAGTAGGTAAGTGTGCTTTAAAATGATAGCTAAATTTAATTTCTCCCTCATCTCTACAGCAGACTGGATTTTTTCTTCCCCTTGGCTTTCTTCACCATTTCCTGAAGGGCCCCTCCCCAATATTTAGGGCTAACAGATTCAGTGAAATGTCTAACATCATTTTCCAAAAGGCTTAGGACAGCAGGCAAAGGAGAGGATACCAGACAGACCAATGCACAGGGACAAAAATATAGCAGAGGGACATAACATCGAAAAGGTCTCTTTTAGGAAATAACTAGATGTTTTCCAGCCTACATCAAAGATATATTTTTTTTAATTGTTTAATTTTAATTTTTTTAATTGTGATTTCAGTTGCAGTATAAAAATTTCCCAAAGAGAAGGAAAGGACCCCCCGGCCCCCCAGAAACACCTCCCCAAAGAACAGTACAATGAAGGAGGCCAGAATAAATTCTACCCACGCCTGGGCTATTTGATTTAGTTTCAGATCCCCAGAAGACATGAATGTTTTATCTTCAGGGAGGGATTCTCCCACTTGGTGTGGGAAAATGAGAGTTTACAGGCAAACTAAAGAATTTACAGGCAAACTAGGGTTAGAAGAGCAGATAAAGAAGAGCAGACAGCCTAACGTGCAAAGACAAAGTAATAGTGGAAAATGTGTAAAAGAACAACAACAAAAAGTAACTTATGTAAAATTGAAAATATTTTCATGGAATTGCTTGGACATTCTGCTATACTGGTTGCCAGCCAGTAGGATAATATAAGTTATTGATGAGGCTAAGTTTTATAATTCCTTGGTTTGGAATTCAAACTTCATTGAGTAATAATGCCTGCCTTTCACAAATGGAAAACATTATAGCGTAGTGAATTTCACCCCCAGTGGGATCATCCTATGAGTAACAGAAGACCTTCTCCCTCCCCCTACAAATCTTAGGGTATGAAGAATTCTCAATACTCACGCTAGTTGCTCCACCCAGAACCTAAATTGAAAAGGAAATTCAACTTGTTAGTCTGTCATGTTCTCTTAACATGTAGAAATGTCATGTAACACATATTTAGGTCCTAAGGCAAGGATTCCCCTATTCACCAAGGAAACATCAGAAGAGAAAGGAAAAGCGATCTGAACTGATTCAGTCTCATGTGCATCACAACTGCCTCCATATTAGTCATTTTTCTTTACAGAGCAATTCCATAACAAAGGAGAGGAGGCCAACCAAATTGCAAAGAGAAGGAAATAGATCCTGCTCCCATATGTTTCCTAAGAAACCTTCTGGATTTTTACTTCCACTACAACAATGTTCTGAACAGAAGGAAAAGTGGATGCCAAGAAGATCAGCTCCCCCAAGCAAATACAGAGAGAATACAGAGAGAAAGAGTTCAGGCCCTGTACTGAGTGGTCTTATTTGGGGTGGAGCACACAGGAAGACATGTGAATATCCATCACCAACTGTGGTGTGCTTGGTGAGCATGCATGATAGGGTCTTCTTGGTGGCTGTGCTCAAGTTATGGAACTCAGTCACGGAAGAGTTCCATCTCTTGGGCATCAGCTAAACACAACAAAATTTAAGTGTACATTTCACTACTAGATAAGTGATATTTCTCCCATGTCTGTCATTGCTGGCAGTTTGCAGGGGTGTTGCTTCGTATGCTTTCTTGGTTTCAATGACTACTCTTCTTACATTACTTCTTAGCCATCCTGAGGCACCTGTTTTAGGATGGATCCCAAGTGCTTCAGTTAGATGTGGTTCACAGTTGCCATCAGGCTGGGAATGGCCAAATATGTCCCTTCTGGTTTCTCTCAGATCCTCATTTTCCCAAAGGAGAGGATACCAGACAAACCAACTCACAGGGACAAAAGGATAGCAGAGGGGCATAACGTTTGAAAAGTCTCATTCAGGAAATAACTAGAATTTTTTTCTAGCCTCCATTCAAAATATTGATTTTCATTTCCAGTATAAAAAAATCCCAAAGAGAAGGACAGGCTCCCAATGCCCCTTAACCCCCCACCCCATAGCAGTATAACGACTGAGCCCAGAATAAATTCTACCGATTCAGGGGCTTTTTGTGTTAGTTTCAGATTTCCAGAATCAATCAGGAAACTACAACACAACTAAATGTTAAAAAATAAATAAAAATTTCAATTGAAAAGTCACAATAAATACTGGATACTTACTGGAGATCTCTTCTTCCTCTGTTGTTATTTTACAAAGGGAAACAATGGTGGTTTTTTTAGTTTTTTGCTTTTTTGTTTTTCATATATTTTGTCATCAAATATATTCAAAGAAAATACAGAAAAGATCAAATTGTTATTTATTTCTATTCACATCCCGCTACTGAGTATATTACAGGAGAAATACATTATATTTGCTTCTGTTTCTGTTCAATCTCTATATCACAGTGGTACCTCTGGTTAAGAACTTAATTCGTTCTGGAGGTCCGTTCTTAACCTATAACTGTTTTTTAACCTGAAGCACCACTTTAGCTAATGGGGCCTCCCGCTGCCGCTGCACGATTCCTGTTCTCATCCTGAAGCAAAGGTACTATTTCTGGGTTAGCGGAGTCTGTAACCTGCAACGTCTGTAAACTGAAGCGTCTGTAACCCGAGGTACCACTGTACATTCAACTGCCAACATACATGAGGGTAATGTTCTAGGGACAACTCATAAAGCTAAAATCGTGTATAATCAACAGACATTCTCCCTGCACCTCCAAACACTCTCCCAAGGTGGGGTTGCCAAAGTTCCCCCCCCAAAAAAAACCTCCACCCCTTATTTATTTACTTTTTGCCAAGTGAGTAAAGCTGAATGGTGCAGCATTCCTAGATGGCAGAGTCTTCACTGGGGTAGGGAACTCAACCTTCAGAGCTTTTTCTGCTGGACCATGGGGCCATAAGCCCCCATGGCCTATCAGGAACCAAATCCTAGCCTGCACCCTGCTTTGGCAACTGCAGTTCCTGGAGGTAGCAGTATCTGCTTACATTATACTGAAAAAGTCTCATTGTTATCCATAATACAGACACAGTTATCAATCTATCAATAATATGTATCAAATAGCATATCACTTCAATCATTTGTCTCTGAAGCACCAAGATTAAGAGCAAGGAAGTGGTCCCTGTTTTTTTTTTGGGGGGGGGGTGTTAGCTTTTCAAATCTCCCTAAAGTTAATGGATGTCCAAGAAAAGTAATACAATACTTACAGAAAGTACAGGCAGGCCCTAAAACAGAAAACAGTGTGTTTTGTGAAAACATCATTTGAGACAAAATAAGCAAATCTGGGCATGCTTCCCAACACTACTATATCTACATACCTCCAGATTTAAGGGAAACAAAGCTCCTGAGAGCACATATGAATAGTTGAGCACAGTTAAATCACAACAGCCACTTCTGTGGGACACTGTTATGAACTAAGGGATACTTCTCGACTTCATGATCACAATTAATATACCGTATTTTTTCGTCTATAAGACGCCGCCTATCTTGGGGGCCTCAAAATTTAGAAAATAGGTGGAGATTGAGCTTTTGGGAAGGATTATTTGGGGGGGTGCCAAAAATTGTTCACCCGACAGAATGCAGCACACAACCCCTCGCATTGCTTACAATCTCCACTTACAATCTCGGGCTCGCGCCAAAAAACCATTCGCCCGTCCCCCCTTGGCACTACCTGTGTATAAGACAACCCTAAATTTTGAACCTCATTTTTGGGGCAAAAAAGTTTGTCTTATACATGGAAAAATATGGTATAACATGTTTGATTACTAAAAGCAGTTGCAAAGATTAGGGCCCTGAACCAAATTTTCATACTTCTAAAAGGAAGAGCCAAGCTGTGGTGTTTTTCTCTTCTCGTTAAAAAGGAAAAAGAAACTTTTTGGATATCACTAAGGTTAAATAAGACTAAAGGTAAGTAATGTCTAATACTCACAGACACTGGCAGGCCACTCTAAAATAGAAAGCAAGAATCCATTTTAACATAATCAATATAACATAATCAGTATAATTAATAAATAAACACACACAAAAACACACATCCCCCTTCTTTTAGTAAAAGTACCTAGTGGGCATACAGTGTTATCATAAAAATATACAAAATATAATAAAATGCACAATGAAAACATAAAACCAGTTTCTAAATATGAAGCATAAGGGCTCAGTTCCTCTGAGGTTAATGTAAATGGGAATAGTAGGCCATCACTCTGCAAAGCAAGGTATTTCCTCAGTAGATAATCACAGTATCCTAATTGAACTGTAATCAGACCAGCATAGTTCAGGCAGAACCCTGCTATGAACTAAGGGATACTTCTCGACTGCATGATCACAATTAATATACCACATTTTTCCGTCTATAAGATGCCCCCTATTTTGGGGGCCTCAATATATAGAAAATAGGGGCAGATTGAGCTTTTGGGAAGGATTATTTGGGGGGGATGCCATAAATCGTTCACCCGACAGAATGCAGCACATAACCCCTCGCATTGCTTACAATCTCCACTTACAATCTCGGGCTCGCGCCAAAAAACCATTCGACCGTCCACCCTTGGCACTACCCGTGTATAAGACAACCCTAAATTTTGAACCTCATTTTTGGGTCAAAAAAGTTTGTCTTATACATGGAAAAATATGGTATAACATGTTAGATTACTAAAAGCAGTTGCAAAGATTAGGGCCCTGAACCAAATTTTCATACTTCTAAAAGGAAGAGCCAAGCTGTGGTGTTTTTCTATTCTCGTTAAAAAGGAAAAAGAAACTTTTTGGATATCGCTAAGGCTAAATAATACTAAAGATAAGTAATGTCTAATACTCACAGACAATGGCAGGCCATTCTAAAATAGAAAACAAAAATCCATTTTAACATAATCAATATAACATAATCAGTATAATTAATAAATAAACACACACAAAAACACACATCCCCCTTCTTTTAGTAAAAGTACCTAGTGTGACATACAGTGTTATCATAAAAATATAATAAAATGCACAATGAAAACATAAAACCAGTTTCTAAATATGCAGCATAAGGGCTCAGTTCCTCAGAGGTTAATGTAAATGGGAACAGTAGGCTATCAGTCTGCAAAGCAAGGTGTTTCCTCAGTAGATATTCACAGTATCCTAATCGGACTGTAATCAGGCCAGCATAGTTCAGGCAGAACCCTGCTATGAACTAAGCGATACTTCTCGACTGCATGATCACAATTAATATAGGAGTGCTTGCATAGTTCTTTCAGGCAATAGCCGCATACCCTCCAACATTTCTTCAATGAAAATAAGGATGTCTCATTCCATAACGATAATTTTACTATTTATACCCCACACATCGTACTGGGTTACTCAGCCATTCTGGGCGGCTTCCAACATATATTAGAAACATGAAACATAAAGAAAAAATCCCTCTACAGGATTGCCTTCAGACGGCTCAGGGGTCGGATATCTCCACACCCTCCAACATTGGTCTAATGAAATAAGGATGTCCTAAAAAAAGTGGGACATTCCAGGATAAAATCAGAAACTGGTATGGCTTCTCTAAATCAGGGACGTCCCTGGAAAATCGTTACACTTGGGGGGGTCTGTAGTCATAACATAGAAAATACAGTACTGGATCACAACTACACCATATATTTAAAAGACATTCCAAGTGCTTTTAAAGCACTGGTCTTAATGTGCTTCCAAAGCACATGGATAATCATTGCCCAAAGGTTAGTAATATAGAGAACTTACAAGTACATCAGTTGGGACAGGCAAGTTCTAAAACACAAAAGGAGTAAGTTATGTGAAAACATCATTTGGAACATAAAGAAGCAAAACTGGACAAACTTCCCAACACTAATATATCTATGGCTCTCCAGAATGAAGGGGAACATTTTGAGAGCATTTGTGAATAGTTGTGCACAAATTATGTCCTCCATCATGGAGGGCACGTGTTGCGGTGAGATCACCTAAACTGCCTCATGTTATGTGGCAGGACCGTTTGGATAGCCACAACAACCCTCTTGGTTGCGCCTCGGTTGCTGGGGTAGAAATTTGAGCTGTTGGGTCGTCTATTGACTTCTAAAAGGAAGAGCCAAGCTGTGGTGTTTTTCTATTCTCGTTAAAAAGGAAAAAGAAACTTTTTGGATATCGCTAAGGCTAAATAAGACTAAAGGTAAGTAATGTCTAATACTCACAGACAATGGCAGGCCATTCTAAAATAGAAAGCAAGAATCCATTTTAACATAATCAATATAACATAATCAGTATAATTAATAAATAAACACACACAAAAAAACACATCCCCCTTCTTTTAGTAAAAGTACCTAGTGTGGCATACAGTGTTATCATAAAAATATACAAAATATAATAAAATGCACAATGAAAACATAAAACCAGTTTCTAAATATGCAGCATAAGGGCTCAGTTCCTCAGAGGTTAATGTAAATGGGAACAGTAGGCAATCACTCTGCAAAGCAAGGTGTTTCCTCAGTAGATAATCACAGTATCCTAATTGAACTGTAATCAGGCCAGCATAGTTCAGGCAGAGCCTGCATAGGAGTGCTTGCATAGTTCTTTCAGGCAATAGCCGCATACCCTCCAACATTTCTTCAATGAAAATAAGGATGTCTCGTTCTATAATGATAATTTAACTATTTATACCCCACATATCGTACTGGGTTGCCCAGCCATTCTGGGCGGCTTCCAACATATATTAGAAACATGAAACATAAAGAAAAAAATCCCTCTACAGGATTGCCTTCAGACGGCTCAGGGGTCGGATATCTCCACACCCTCCAACATTGGTCTAATGAAATAAGGATGTCCTAAAAAAAGTGGGACATTCCGGGATAAAATCAGAAACTGGTTTGGCTTCTCTAAATCAGGGACGTCCCTGGAAAATCGTTACACTTGGGGGGTCTGTAGTCATAACATAGAAAATACAGTACTGGATCACAACTACACCATATATTTAAAAGACATTCCAAGTGCTTTTAAAGCACTGGTCTTAATGTGCTTCCAAAGCACATGGATAATCATTGCCCAAAGGTTAGTAATATAGAGAACTTACAAGTACGTCAGTTGGGACAGGCAAGTTCTAAAACACAAAAGGAGTAAGTTATGTGAAAACATCATTTGGAACATAAAGAAGCAAAACTGGACAAACTTCCCAACACTAATATATCTATGGCTCTCCAGAATGAAGGGGAACATAGCTCCTGAGAGCATTTGTGAATAGTTGTGCACAAATTGTGTCCTCCATCATGGAGGGCACGTGTTGCGGTGAGATCACCTAAACTGCCTCATGTTATGTGGCAGGATCGTTTGGATAGCCACAACAACCCTCTTGGTTGCGCCTCGGTTGCTGGGGTAGAAATTTGGCCTGTTGGGTCGTCTATTGGCTACCGAGGGGCTATTTAAGCTGCTGCACGTTGCTGGGAGCTTTCTCTTTCCTGCAATGTGCATCGGATCACCTGCCCTCCCACCCTATATTTAGGGCTGTCTTTGGCCTTGCTATGCCTGTCTAGGGGTAATCTGTTTTGAAGCCGGCGCCCAGTAGGAATTTTGCCATTTTGCTGATTGGCTGTTGCCATTTGGTTTTTGCCTACCATGTAGCAAATTGTCACAACTTCGTAAGGTTGGCGGTTGGGCATTGGTTCAATGTTTTGTGGGGGGGAAGTGGTTGGCTGTGCCTGCCCCTCCATCACTTCTGCTAGAGAATTTTGTTAAAGGAATCCAGGGGCTCGCCTTGCTTTTGTCCGAACACTGTCAAGGGCTAGGGCCATGCCAGAGCCCCTGGGAGCATCTGGGGTGAGCTGTGAGATTGAAGCCAGCTTCTCGCTCCCCTAGGATGCTTTCCCTTACTGACATATGGTGGTGCCCAGTGTCAGTCCTGTTCCTGCCACCGTGCAGGTTCAGGTAGTCTGGAACCAATGCCTAAGCAACCACTCACATGATGTAATCAATAAAGTTGTGGCCAAAATTAATGCCAAAAAACCCTTAAACTAAATTCTGTGTCAATTGTGTCATTATTTTGGGGGTGGTTTTGGGGGTCTTCATAGGCAATTAAATCACGACAGCTACTTGTGTGGGACATCTCTAGGAAATAAGGGACACTTTCTGACTGTACAACCCTAATTAACATATAAAATATTATATATTTGCTTTTTTTAACGTAGTTGCAAAGATTAGGGCCCTGAACGCTAATCTTCATACTTTTAAAATTTTCATACTTCTAAAAGGTAGAGCCAAGCAATGGTGTTTTTCTCTTTTAGTTAAAAAGGAAAAAGAAACTTTTTGGATATCGCTAAGGTTAAATAAGACTAAAGGTAAGTAATGTCTAATACTCACAGACACTGGCAGGCCACTCTAAAATAGAAAGCAAGAATCCATTTTAACATAATCAATATAACATAATCAGTATAATTAATAAATAAACACACACAAAAACACACATCCCCCTTCTTTTAGTAAAAGTACCTAGTGTGGCATACAGTGTTATCATAAAAATATACAAAATATAATAAAATGCACAATGAAAACATAAAACCAGTTTCTAAATATGCAGCATAAGGGCTCAGTAAATGGGAACAGTAGGCTATCAGTCTGCAAAGCAAGGTGTTTCCTCAGTAGATATTCACAGTATCCTAATCGGACTGTAATCAGGCCACCATAGTTCAGGCAGAACCCTGCATAGGAGTGCTAGGGTAGTTCTTTCAGGCAATAGCCGCATACCCTCCAACATTTATTCAATAAAAATAAGGATCTCTCATTCTATAATGATAATTTAACTATTTATACCCCACATATCGTACTGGGTTGCCCAGCCATTCTGGGCGGCTTCCAACATATATTAAAAACATGAAACATAAAGAAAAAATCCCTCTACAGGATTGCCTTCAGACGGCACAGGGGTCGGATGTCTCCACACCCTCCAACAATGATCCAATGAAAATAGGCATGTCCTAATGAAAAGTGGGACATTCCGGGATAAAATCAGAAACCAGTTACACTTGGAGGGTCTGTAGCCATAACATAGAAAATACAGTACTGGATCACATCTACACCATATATTTAAAAGACATCCAAGTGCTTTTAAAGCACTGGTCTTAATGAGCTTCTAAAGCACATGGATAATCATTGCCCAAAGGTTAGTAATATAGAGAACTTATAAGAACTTCAGGTGGGAGGTTCTAAAACACAAAACAGTAAGTTATGTGAAAACATCATTTGGGACAAAAAGAAGCAAAACTGGGCAAACTTCCCAACACTAATATATCTATGGCTCTCCAGAATGAAGGGGAACATAGCTCCTGAGAGCATTTGTAAGCCCAGTCACCTTTTTATATATTGGACATCATTGGAAGTCACAAAAGCTTCTTTAAGTCTTTCTTTCATATCATGTACAGAAATGGTAACCTATGATGTATATGGGGAAGTGTGCTATTTAAGACTAAAAGAATGTATTTAGAATTAGGGTTGCCATATCTTAAAGAGCAAAAAAAGAGGACAGTCCAAGCCAGGGAAAGAGGTGCACCTCTTTCTGATCTCCCTAAAGTTAATTCATGTCCAAGAAAAGTAATTCAATACAATTACAGAAAGTCCAGGCACGCCCTAAAATAGAAAACAGTGAAAACATGTTGTGCACAACATATGAATAGTTGTGCACAATTAAATCTTAAAGGTTTTGCCACTTTTCTCTTTCAATCAGCATGAATTTACTATTTAACACATCAACATAATAAGACATCGCTGGGGAACACTTCAATGAAATGAGCTGCAAAATCTTGCAGTAAAGACAAGCACCCCTCCCCCAACGAAGGATTAAGGCTTTACATAGAGGATTTCTAGTACTTACACCTCCAAGAAGGTTCTAAAAAAGATAAAGAAAACAATTATTCCATCATGTTTTCTGAACACAAGAATGATAAATATAGCAAACATTTTGATTATTTCTCACTGGTAAAGGTGGGCCCCCACAGGAAGGTCACTGTTGTTTCTCTCTCCTACAGTTCACCCATATCCTCTCAGCCTGCTTTCCATGCTTCAGGTCATGGATTTCTTCAGAAGTGTACACATCTTTTACATATAATGCTACTCCTTCTCCATTCCTGTTTGGTCTATTCCTTTTAAACAGTATATACCACTCAGTTCCTACATTCCAGTCATGAGCCTTATCCTGCCAGGGTCCAGTACTGCCTGCTAGGTCACTTTTTGCCAAGCTGAATTAAAAGCTGTAATTGGTCTTGCTTGTTTCCCATGCTCTGTTCATTTGTGTAAAGACAACTGTCTTATCAAAATATCTTAGTGAGAACATGGAAGTTCATCTGGACATAATACAATCATATTCAAAGCTCTCCAGCATTACAGAGAACAATGTCTCTGATACAACTTAAGAATATTTGAACACATCAAAGTCAGTCTGGAGTGGCTAGATTTGTACTACGCATATTGCAATTAAATACCCTTGCCTTCAATGGAGCCCTAGTATAGCTCTGTGGATCTCTTCAGTCACGTGCAAAACACATCTAGGAACTGAGAGACACTTCTTAACTAGGCGACCAAATATAACACACATAATAGTTTTTTTCATTTTTATGCAAAGTAATAGGGCTTTACTCTCTATTCGACATAAGTCTCATCAACATTGAATCTCTTCACTATTTAGACAGCATCATTGCCTGGACTTGAAACTCTTCAAATGGTGGCCTGTTGCTGGAAAGACAACTACAGAAGCCCCACATGATGCAATCTGTTATTCTTTGTGGCCCTGTTGATATTTCATCTGGTGTAAACCTAGGCATCACTGTAACTGCATGGAAAACTTTGAAGCCAATGTCAAACTTCCGTCTGTGACCAAACAAGCAGATTACATGTGACATATAATTCAGACTCTCTTTATAAACCACAAGAAGTCTGATCATGGTATGCAGAGGATGGCTATACCTCTCCTCCCCTGTTGACCCCCGGTGACAATTAATGATGTTCCATTTAAAAGTAATATGCAATACTTACGCCCAGTAAACCGCCATCCTGAAAGAAGAAAGGAGGAAAGCAATTTTTAGACAATCAACATCTCTTTTAAGCTATGTTTCTTTAGTTTTAATGCCCTTTAATATCTTTGTGAGAGTATACAAAATCAGGCACACTTCTGGCATAAACATCTCTTTCCCAGAAATATTTGGGTTGTTTGTGCAGTGAATGGCCATAAAAGGGAAAAGGCAGCATTGGCATTCATAACCTACATCAGGTATCTTCAACCTTTTTTAGACCCAGGACTCACTAACTAGGTGATCAAAAATGAGATACCTAACAGGTTTTGGTTTTTGTTTTGATTTTGTATGATATTATATACCTTCACACAATACTTTGGTTTACGTATTTGTTTTTGCAAATTATAAGGGCCATGTCATGCAGCCAGTATGCCTTAACCATATCAATCACACAGCAGTATTATGGCACAAATCTCATCAGCCAATATTGAGGGACACTTCAATGAACTAATCTGCAAAATCTTGCAGGAAACACAAGCCCCTCCCCCAGTGAAGGATGTTGTGGATCATTAAGGCATTACATAGAGGATTTCCAATACTCACAGTTCCGCCAGTAAGTCCCTCAGTAAGGCCCTAAAGAAGATAAAGAAATAAGTTAGTCCATGTTTTATGAAAATGATAAATATAGTGAACATTTTGATGATTTCACACTGGCAAATGTGGACTTGCTGTCTGTTCCACCAAGAAGGCCCTAAATAGGGTTTCTAACACAACTTATGAATAGTTGAACACAGCAAAGTCTGCCTAGAGAGGCTAGATGTCTACTGCTTACACGGCAATTAATTATCCTCTACTTGAATGGAAGCCTAGAATGGCTCGGTGGATCACTTCAGTTACAATAAAAAGCATCTAGGACCTGAGGGACACTTCTTAACTAAGTGACCAAATATAACATACATATTTTTTTGTTTTTATGCAGAGTAATAGGGCTTTACTGTCTGTTCTACATATGTCTTGCCTACATGGAATCTCTTCCCTATTTAGAAAGCATCATTGCCTGGACCTGAAGCTCTTTAAATGGCGGCCTGTTGCTGGAGAGACAACAACAGAAGCCCCAGATGATGCAATCTGTTATTCTTTGTGGCCCTTTTGATACTTCATCTGGTGTAAACCTAGGCATCACTGTAACCTCCTCCCCTGTTGACCCCCGCTGACAATCAATGATGGTCCAATTAAAAGTAACATGCAATACTCACGCCTAGTAAACCACCACCCTGAAATAAAAAGGAGCAATTCAATCAAAAAGGAGGAAAACAATCAACATCTCTTTTAAGCAATGTTTCCTTAGTTTTAATGCCCTTTAATACCTTTGTGGGAGTATAGAAAATCAGGCACACTTCTGGCATAAACATCTCTTTCCCAGAAGTTTTTTTTTGTTTTTTGTGCAGTGAATGGCCATAGTAGGGAAAGCGCAGCATTGCCATTCACAACCTACATCAGGTATCTTCAACTTTTTAAAGACCCAGGACTCACTAACTAGGTGATCAAAAATAAGATACCTAACAGGTTTTTGTTTTTGTTTTCTTGTATAATGGATTATGCCTTCACACAATACTTTAGTTTACATATTTGTTTTTGCAAATTAAAAGGGCCATGTCATGCAGCCAGTATGCCTTAACCATTTCAATCACACAGCAGTATTGTGGCACAAATCTCATCAGCCAATATTGAGGGACACTTCAATGAACTAATCTGCAAAATCTTGCAGGAAACACAAGCCCCTCTCCAAGTGAAGGATGTTGTGGATCATTAAGGCATTACATAGAGGATTTCCAATACTCACATTTCCGCCAGTAAGTCCCTCAGTAAGGCCCTAAAGAAGATAAAGAAATAAGTTAGTCCATGTTTTATGAAAATGATGAATGAATGAATGAATAAATTTATTACGGTCATAGACCAGAAAAAAAGAAAAAAACATAAAAGGCAGCAATAATTTACAAGGGAATGATGGTGTCAATGATAAATATAGTGAACATTTTGATGATTTCACACTGGCAAATGTGGACTTGCTGCCTGTTCCACCAAGAAGGCCCTAAATAAGGTTTCTAACACAACTTATGAATAGTTGAACACATCAAAGTCTGCCTAGAGAGACTAGATGTCTACTGCTTACATGGCAATTAATTATCCTCTACCTGAATGGAAGCCTAGAATGGCTCGGTGGATCACTTCAGTTACAATAAAAAGCATCTAGGACCTGAGGGACACTTCTTAACTAAGTGACCAAATATAACATACATATTTTTTTTGTTTTTATGCAGAGTAATAGGGCTTTACTGTCTGTTCTACATATGTCTTGCCTACATGGAATCTCTTCCCTATTTAGAAAGCATCATTGCTGGAGAGACAACAACAGAAGCCCCAGATGATGCAATCTGTTATTCTTTGTGGCCCTTTTGATACTTCATCTGGTGTAAACCTAGGCATCACTGTAACCTCCTCCCCTGTTGACCCCCCCTGACAATCAATGATGGTCCAATTAAAAGTAACATGCAATACTCACGCCTAGTAAACCACCACCACCCTGAAATAAAAAGGAGCAATTCAATCAAAAAGGAGGAAAACAATCAACATCTCCTTTAAGCACTGTTTCTTTAGTTTTAATGCCCTTTAATATCTTTGTGAGAGTATACAAAATCAGGCACACTTCTGGCATAAACATATCTTTCCCAGAAATATTTGGGTTGTTTGTGCAGTGAACGGCCATAGTAGGGAAAATGCAGCATTGCCATTCACAACCTACATCAGGTATCTTCAACCTTTTTTAGACCCAGGACTCACTAACTAGGTGATCAAAAATAAGATACCTAACAGGTTTTGGTTTTTGTTTTGATTTTGTATGCTATTATATACCTTCACACAATACTTTGGTTTACATATTTGTTTTTGCAAATTATAAGGGCCATGTCATGCAGCCAGTATGCCTTAACCATTTCAATCACACAGCAGTATTGTGGCACAAATCTCATCAGCCAATATTGAGGGACACTTCAATGAACTAATCTGCAAAATCTTGCAGGAAACACAAGCCCCTCCCCCAGTGAAGGATGTTGTGGATCATTAAGGCATTACATAGAGGATTTCCAATACTCACAGTTCCGCCAGTAAGTCCCTCAGTAAGGCCCTAAAGAAGATAAAGAAATAAGTTAGTCCATGTTTTATGAAAATGATAAATATAGTGAACATTTTGATGATTTCACACTGGCAAATGTGGACTTGCTGCCTGTTCCACCAAGAAGGCCCTAAATAAGGTTTCTAACACAACTTATGAATAGTTGAACACATCAAAGTCTGCCTAGAGAGACTAGATGTCTACTGCTTACATGGCAATTAATTATCCTCTACCTGAATGGAAGCCTAGAATGGCTCGGTGGATCACTTCAGTTACAATAAAAAGCATCTAGGACCTGAGGGACACTTCTTAACTAAGTGACCAAATATAACATACATTTTTTTTTTGTTTTTATGCAGAGTAATAGGGCTTTACTGTCTGTTCTACATATGTCTTGCCTACATGGAATCTCTTCCCTATTTAGAAAGCATCATTGCTGGAGAGACAACAACAGAAGCCCCAGATGATGCAATCTGTTATTCTTTGTGGCCCTTTTGATACTTCATCTGGTGTAAACCTAGGCATCACTGTAACCTCCTCCCCTGTTGACCCCCCCTGACAATCAATGATGGTCCAATTAAAAGTAACATGCAATACTCACGCCTAGTAAACCACCACCACCCTGAAATAAAAAGGAGGAAATCAATTAAAAAGGAGGAAAACAATCAACATCTCTATTAAGCAATGTTTCCTTAGTTTTAATGCCCTTTAATACCTTTGTGGGAGTATAGAAAATCAGGCACACTTCTGGCATAAACATCTCTTTCCCAGAAGTGTTTGGGTAGTTTGTGCAGTGAATAGCCATAATAGGGAAAGTGCAGCATTGGCAGTCATAACTACATCAGGTATCTTCAACCTTTTTTAGACCCAGGACTCACTAACTAGGTGATCAAAAATAAGATACCTAACAGGCTGCCCCCCCCTTTTTTTTGTATAACGTAATATGCCTTCACACAACACTTTTGTTTACGTATTTGTTTTTGCAAGTATAAGGGCCATGTCATGCAGCCAGCATGCTTTTGCCATTTCAATCATGCAGCAGTATTGTGGCACGAATCTCATCAGCCAATATTGAGGGACGCTTCCATGAACTAATCAGCAATATCTTGCAGTAAGGACAAGGCCCCTCCCCCAGTGAAGGATGCTTTGGATCATTAGGCATTACATAGAGGATTTCCAATACTCACACGTCTGCTACCACCGCCCTAAACAAGATAAAGAAATATGTTATTCCTTCATGTTTCATGAACATGATAAACATAGTGAACTTTTTGATTATTTCACACTGCCAAACTAGTCCAGGGCAACCTACTTCTTATGTTAAAGCCACAGGCACATTTCATCTATCTTTGTGTGTTTGTGGGTTGTGTGTGTTTTAACTACCTTCAAGGATCACAACCATGGTACTCTTATATGTATGCAAGGGAGCAAGTAGGCTGTATAAAAGATCCTTTATCTGCTGTAAACCTTGGCATCACTTTATTAGCATACAGAACGTTTAAGGATGAAGGTGGCGGCCTTCCCGGGCATTTTTCCGACAAAACCTACCAAATAACTCCTAGAGCTGTTGAATCTTGTTGGAACTGATGAAGAACTTTGCAGTCAACAACATTTCTCAAAGCAACTTTGCAACTTGTACCTTTGGGACTGCTTTGCATTTTGCAGCCATTGCAACTCACCCTTCACCTGTTCTGATGCTGCTCCAGGACAAACTACTCCTTATGTTAAAGCCACAGTCACATTTAATCTCTCTCCCCCCCCCCCATCTGCGTGTGTGTGTGTGTGTGTGTTAAATACCTTCAAAGATTAAAGATATAAAATCACTAATATACTAAATTCACACTTAGAAAACCACCACTGAAACAGAAAGGATGAAATCAATATTTCTACAACCAACATTTCTTTTAAGCAATGTTTCCTTAGTTAAAAACCTTTAATACCCTTTTGGGAGTATACAAAGTCAGGCACACATGTTTTCTGAACATGAACAGAAAAAATATTGGCAAGTTCTCCCCCCCCCCATATTGTCAGTGGCACCATCCTCCTTGATGCATCATCCCAGCGATCCTTATCTAACTCATATCACTTTTGCCTGTGGCCTCTGCAAGACTGCCTGATCCTAAAAGACAGATTGTGATTGACAGAAACGAGAGGCAACTGGCATCTGGGATAAACAGTTGTGGGCAATTATGACATGCAGTTGATTTGATTGCTCAATATTGTTGTTTTTTAAAAAAATAATTAATGATATTCCCGTTAAAAGTGATGTGCAATACTTACGCCTAATAAACCACCAAGCTGAAACAGAAAGGAGGAAATTGATTTTGCTACAATCATCTCTTTTAAACAATTTATCATTAGTTAACAACCTTTAATACCCTTGTGGGAGTATAGAAAATTGGGCACATTTCTGGCATAAACATCTCCTTCTCAGGAGTGTTCCCGCAACTCTTTTAGTAAAAGGCCATAACAGGAAAATGGTTGCAATGCCCTATATCATCTAAATCAAATATATGCTTCAAATACCTTCAAGTACTACAACCATGGTATTCAGGGGAAAACAGTTGTTCTTTTCCCTACACTGTAGTCTCAGTGAAAGTTGCCCCAGCAGAAAAGGCATAAGGGTACAGCCAAGAAGAACAGTCAACCTCTCTGCGGCTTCAGCCAGGTCAACCCTAAACGTCCCATTACAGTCCTTAAAATTTGCCCAGCCTTTAAATCTTAGACCTATCAAAAAGACATTTTAAAATTCCAGAAATCAAAACTTCTTATACTTTGTGTAAAGTATTTGTTTTTGTAAGTATTAGGGCCATGTCATGCAGCAAAGGTGCTTTAATGAGTTTAACCATTTCAACTACACAGCAGTATTGTGGGAGGGATCTAATCACCCAATACTGAGGGACACGTCAATGAACGAATTTTCAAAATCCTGAGTACTTCTCTGTGGCTCTCGTCTGTCACTTCTGTGTGGATTTTCTACAAACTAATGTGCAAAACCAGGCAATAAAAGACAAGGGTGCCTCATGGGAAGAAACTACAGACCATTCAGACAATACAGAGAAGATTTGCAAACCACCACCACACTATATTTTAGGTTTGGCTTGCAGGGTTCCTATGTGGATCTGGTTGGCCACTATGAGACCATAATGCTGGCCTGATATTTTTGTGTTCTTATAATCCTTATGATCTTGAAAGTCAAATGCTTGGTCACCTCTCAGTATGGCCCCTCATCCCTACTGTAAAGGTAAAGGTAAAGGGACCCCTGAACATTAGGTCCAGTCGCAGACGATTCTGGGGTTGCGGTGCTCATCTCACTTTACTGGCCAGAGCAGCACACTGAAACGCCATTTACCTTCCCACCGGAGCAGTACCTATTTACTTGCACTTTGACGTGCTTTCGAACTGCTAGGTTGGCAGGAGCAGGGACTGAGTAACGGGAGCTCACCCCCTCGCGGGGATTTGAACCGCCAACCTTCCGATCAGCAAGCCCTAGGCTCTGTGGTTTGGACCACAGCGTCACCCACGTCCCTCATCCTTACTGTAGAACATTTTAAAACTGCAGAAATCCATTTATGGGCACGTATGCAAATTCTCATTTTATTCTATTTTTTCTTTTAATCACTTTATTAGACCTGGAAACAATTTTGGATATTAGAGGGTGTGTGTTGAACCAACATGGATCCTAGCCAGCATTCAGATGTTCCCAAGCATGCAGGAATCTTGGAAACCCTTTTATTTATCTACTGGAAACATGAAAATGACATCCATTTTTAGCTAAAGGGGATTCCCCCCCCCCCAGTCATTCAGTTCTCTCAAAGCATAAAAGATTTGTAATACTTACAAGCTGAGGGGCCTAAATTTAAAAACAAAAACAGCAATTAGATTGATTGGTCTGCAAGCCTCTTAAGACAAATAAAATACCATCAGCCCCCCTCCACCCCTTCAACAAAAGCTGATTCAAGTGGTGGCTCAGCTGGTCTGATTGAATTTCTGGGACAAAATAATTTTTACCTTCTTTTAAACAAGGAATACAGCAAATCCATAAAAGAAATTATTAGAAGCAGCAGCAATATATAAAAAAGATTGAAGCCAGCAACAGTTCACTCAAAAGCATTGCAAAATGGAGAGATCTCTGGGGCTCACTTAAAGATCTGAACTCAGAAAGCCAAAAAAATGTTCTGTTGGGAGGAAGTTCCACCACCAAGAAAGCTATGTGCCTAGAACCCACCAACCTATTCATTCTCAAGGTCAAGCCAATGAGAAGGCCTCTGAGACTGATCTTAGAGCCATTGGATCATAGGAAGCTGCCTTATACTGAGCCATATCACTGCCCCATACATCTCAGTATTGTCTACACTGACTGGTCGCAGCTCTCCAGGGTTTCAAACAGGAAATTTTCCCAGCTCATGTGTGTGAGTATGTGCATCAAACAAAACCGAGATATTGAATTCATATATGCAGAACATTTCAGCTTCTGCCTTCAGGAGGCTTGAAACATTTTGCTATATGAATTCAGTTTCTCTATTTTGTTAGCACAAAGAAGGATGAAACACTAGACTTGGAGACTAAACTTCTCTGAATAAAGTTCCTTATGTATGAAAAACACATTTTGTCACTATGGATGCAATCCCATGCATACTACATGATAATACGTCCTCTTAAACCTAATGGGACTTACTTCCTATTAAACAAAACAAAACAGTCTTGTGCTGCCATTGTTATCCTTTGGATTCAGGAAGCTATAGTTTCTATGCCAGCTCCTTCTATTTTTCCATGGTGTAGAATCCTAAAAGGAAGTGAATTTCCCTCATTTTTACCCAAATGGAAAACATTTACAATTAAATTGATCCCGTAAGTTTAATTGTAGGTTTTAGATCCCATGTGTAGAATAGCCCCTAAACGCACGGAGTTTTCATACGATCTTGCTTCAAGGAGCGTTTATGTCCTACAAAAACATGCACTTGCAGCTCACTGAATATCTAGCTAAGCAGTATAGAAATATTCTACATGGCTCCCTTAAGTGCAAAAACAGACTTACCGAGATGCTCCCATCTGGACAAAGGAGAAAGACAAGAAGAGCAGTGGTCACAACCTGGAGATGCATCTTGGCTTTGGGGTGGTGTCTTTCAGGAGTGAAGTCACCAAGGTGAAGAATGAGCAGTTTTACCTGCTGTATTTATACTATAATTCTGTCCTCAATTTTCAAGCCTGGTTGACCAAATGTAATACCTCTATTGTCAAGGGAACCTATGACTTTTGTCAATAAGGAAAGGTCAATTCATCATAGCTATCATCACATGGAAAGTAGTGGTTGGTTCCAAACACCAGGGGCCAACTTGGCAACAAAGAATAGGCGGCATTATTCTTCCTAACTTGGGTGTTAAAATGGCCCAAATTGACCTTTTCTAACTATGTGCAATGAGGGATGTGCCAGAACTTCTTTGTGACATGGATAATGCCTACATTTCTGAGTATAATTGAGGAGACCCTTACGAAGATGGAATGAATTTCTGAGGTGGCAATTCTTAAGCAAATTCAAAGAATAAGGTGGTCTACAAAGCAGTGGGGCAGCCTGGTACACTTGCCCTGGGCCTGCCAGACTGACGCTGTCATGCCAATAACACCTTGTTCCTCCCAGACAACCAAGGACTCCCGCCCCGGGTTTTAGACGAGCTCTGATGAGCCTGTCCCACAGAGTTCAGCAAGTTGCTTAGATATTACTACCTTTACAATTCCAGTATTTAGTATGTGCAAATGTTTGAAATTTACTACGTTAAATCCTAATCCGAAACAAGGTCATGAATTTCAAAGTGTAACCCAGTGGGGCTGAGTCAGAGTTTTTGGTTCCTATCCTAACCTGCACATAATATCAGCGAGTCAAGGACTGGTTTTATTTATCCTAAGGATCTTTCAGCATAAATGGGGGATGTCTGCAGTTGAGTTGAATGTGTATTTGATGCTATTTACATTCCCACTTAAGTAGCATCGTCCACTTGACATCCGCTTCAAATGACTTCTATCCTGCTATTTTTTCCCTTTTAAACATTGATGAATAGCACTGATTCAATGCTTGGAGCTAGGGTGCTGTCATCCATTAGAGTTGGCTAGCAGGAATGGTGGTCCCTAGTCATTGCCTTAGCTGCATGTATACCCACACTGAATTTGGGGAAGTTGAGTTCAAATAATTAAGAATGTTTCAGATCAGACTTGCAAGAGAGTAGAGTTGTAGCCCACTTACTATTGTATGTGTCAATTCCACAAGTTGATATTGTTAAAACACTGCTGCAAAAGCAATTTTGATGTGATACACATAACTTCATTATTTATTTGTGCAGTGTTTTATCAGTCCATTTACAAACCACCACTAAAAAAACCCAAAAAAAATTATGTGTTGTGGCCAATATTAGTCATACTCAGAGTAGACCCACTGAAATTAACTGACATGGATAATTTAGGTCAATTCATTTAAATGGGTCTACTCTGAGTAAAACCTAGATGGCAATTACCCTTTTTCCCCAAGTATAAACTGTAGTAACAATATTTTTTTCCCATCCTTTTTCTATCCCTTGTGCCGTCAGTTTCCTTTCAACAAAAGCAACGAGTTTCATCAATGAGTAAAAACTGAAGTATGAAGTGTAATCTCCACTAAATGTAACTCTCCTAAAAGATTAGACGTTATAGTGATTCTCAAAAATTTATAGCCACAATATAGTGATTCTGTTTCATGCATTCACACTTTGCTACCCAGTTAGGACCCTATTTGGGCTTCACAGTCTGGGATATGATAGTGATGGTGGCAGGGGTCTTGCTACACTAGAAAAACAAAACAGCTGGTAACTTGTGTTCTGGACGTAGCATGGGATAGATACTATTTTTTTGTTCTAGGTCTGTTCTAGAGTCATAGGTCAGTATGTTGCAACTTTCCGATGATTTTACATCACAGATCTACCCATCACCTGCAAACCAGCCATTGACCATCTTATGCTTGTCCTTTACCTGACCTTTCTACATATGTTTAAGCATACTAATCAGAACATAACCTGCCAGAACGGCAAAGGGCAAGTAAATGTGACAATCTGGATATTGTCAGTTTTTTATCAGTTGCCTGGGTTATTTTTGGCTATCTGCTGTTGCCTATGATAGAACAATCTTTCCAGGAACTTGGTGTCTCAGTAGATCCCATTCTTCTGCTTCAGCAATAAGTTTTAACAGCATTTATTGCAACTGATAACAGGCCTTTGATCCAGCTTCTGGCTCCTGAGAAATGCATGTTCTTTTTTCTATAAACAAAAACAAAACACCTGACCTACACAACCAAGGCACATTGCAGATTAGCATTTGAATGTCAGAACAAGTTGTCCGGACATCACCTGAGAATGCCTTCTTTCATGATCAAAGAAGGCTATGTGCCGATGACAGGGTTCCCCTGCCCCTGCAGTTCATGTGCCTGTGCTCCCTGCATGACAGACACTTTCAACAAGTATCCATAAGTCCTCCAGCTCATACCTATAGGCTACAGAAAGTAGCACACACTTTGCATTCAGGTCCTAAATTCAGTTTCCAGCATCTCCAGGTAAGGCTGGGGAAAACTCCCATATGAAACCCGAAAGAGCTACCATCAACCAGAATATACGGTATTGAGCTAGATAGACCAATGGTCTGTCTCAATGCAATACAACTTCTCATGTTCCTACTGAAGCTTTGTGTTCAAACTGATTCACTTATTATCCACCTGACTGCCTTGTCACATACCTAAGAGGTGCAAAGTGAAATTGGATACATTCTAATGGCCCACTCAAAATTCCAACCACCTCTTTTATTCCTAAAACATTCTAAAATGTTGGCTTCCGGTTCCCTATTTCCAAAAGAGGAGGTTTTTCTGTACCGGATTTAAGACTATATTATGAGGCATCCTGCATCTGTTGAATCCAGGAGTGGGTGGCATTAAAAAATACAGACCTGTTAGATCTAGAGGGACATGATAATAGATTTGGATGGCATGTGTATTTATGGTACAATAAAATCAAAGTACACAGGGGTTTCAGAATCATATTATAAGAAAATCCATAATTAACGTCTGGGAGAAATATAAAGATATGTTAGAACAAAAAACACCATGGTGACTTTTGCCACTAGAAGTAATTTCATTGAAGAAAGTAATTTCATTGAAGAAAGTAAATATGAGGAGTAATTTGCCAACATATAGAGCTGCTAACAGAAGTAGAAAATCAGGTAAAATTAAAGGAATTTGAAGAGGTGAAAGAACAAGTATCAGATTGGTTGCAATACTTTCAACAAATATAAAAAAGAATGGGAAATGTTTATTATGTATTTACAAAATTATTGTAAACAGGTGAAAACATTGGTAGGATTTTAGGAACACTTGTAATTTAAGGAGGATTTATAGGTAATATGGGATGTGAAAAACTGGAATAGTATTGATATGCAGTTGAAAAGAAAGTCTGAAGTAACCAGGGACAAGATGGGGGGAAGTATCAAGATTCATAGAATCTCAATTTTTGGATTTGATGTTCTTTTGGATGTATATATATTATCTTTTTTCTCTTTCTTTTCTTTTCTTTTCTTTTTTCTGTTATATTCTTTTGAAAACCAAACATTTTTTAAAGAATTCTAACCGCCTCTTTTATTCCTAAAACATTCTAACATGTTGGTGTCCATTCCATTTCACTCTGCCTTAATGGAGGCAAACCCCACGACAGTGGGAGATCGTAGGCGAAGGAAAAACAAGGAAGATTGAAGGTAAATCAACATTGCAAATTTCCCCCAGGGATGGGGGGAATGGGCTTCACTCGCAGTTCATCTCAATACCTGGCTCTTGCTCTGGCATGGAATGCAGGTGGTAGGGGCAAAAGCACCTTGCCTGGTGAAAACCCTCCTATGCTGCCATTAAGAAGCAGAAGTTCTCCTGTTAATTAGAGCTTAATTGGACTAAAGTACAGGTGCATGCTAGAAGGGATGAGATCACAAACTGCAGAACAAATCACCTGCAAGGACTTTAAGGTCTGAATTTGGGATAAGACTTTATTCGGTGCAAAAGACAGTGGGGTGGAGGGGAGCCTACGGTTTCTTTATTTAAAGTTTTCTTCTCTATATTTATGATTCGGCAACCCTCCTCTGAATGTTAGTTGAAATTAAATTTGTACAAGTGAGGAGGGAAGAACTTGGATTATAAATATGGAATATAACGTCAAACAGAACTGTGTGTGTAAAAAGGAAAACGGGAGAGAAGCTCAATTTTGCAAAATGTTTACGATGGAAACTTAGAGCTGACTCTACCCCATCCTTTATTATGTATGAAGTGAACTGACTAATGCTAAGAGGATTTGGAATTTAATTTAATTGGAAGGATAATTGGCCATATATCTTCAGCTGGAAGGAAGGGTGAAAGGAGTCTGTCAAGGAAATGATAAGGTTCTTTATTGAGTCATCTGCAGTTCGATAGACAACTCTTCTTCCCAGGCAGAGGGGGAAATGGTGACAAGTCTATTTACTGGGACAGAGCCACTTTTGCAACTGTTGTTAAAGTTCTCGGTGCAAAAAAAAAAAACAAACAAAAAAAACCGAAGCATGGGATGGAGCGATGGAGAAATTTCTGGAACAACAATGGGATATCAGCTCCACCCTTAGTCCCTTAGTATTCTGCCTTAGTCAGACCACACTTGGAATACTGTGTCCAATTTTGGGCACCACAATTTAAGAAGGATGTTGACAAGCTGGAATATGTGCAGAGAAGGGCAACCAAGATGATCAAGGGTCTGGAAACCAAGCCTTATGAGGAGCACTGGAAGGAGCTGGGTATGTTTAGCCTGGAAAAGAGAAGACTGAGATGAGATATGATAGCCATCTTCAAATATCTAAAGACTGTCACATGGAAGAGGGAGTATGCTTGTTTTCTCCTGCTCTGAAGGGTAGGACTTGAACCAATGGCTACAAGTTGCAAAAAGGGAGATTCCGACTAAACATTCGGAAAAAACTTTCTGACAGTAAGAGCTGTTCAGCAGTGGAACAGACTCCTACAATGGTGGTGGACTTTCCTTCCTTGGAGGTTTTTATACAGAGGTTGGATGGCCAACTGTCATGGATGCTTTAGCTGAGATTCCTGCATTGCAGGGGGCTGGACTAGATGACCCTTGGGTCCCTTCGACCTCTATGATTCTATGATCCTAACAGTAGGCTAGCCAGCATCCAAAAAGTGCTTTTAAAAATGAGTTACTGATGGTGTGCTGAATCAGGAATCTATGTCAGATCAATAGTGAACAGGGTGGCAAAGGAGAGCTGGTTGGTTGTAGGTCTTTTGGCTACTTTTAGGGGAATTGTCACAGCTCTGAAAAGAATAGACTAATCTGGACATACCATTCACCAAAGTCACAGTAAAGGGGTATGCTCCCAAATGTATTAATGGAATTCAGTTTTTAATGACTGACTGGAGATGAAAGCTGCAGATATAATGCAAAAACATGGCTTTGGCCTGCAGAACAATTTTTAACAACCTATACAGCTACCTGAAGCCTATTATCTATTTGGCAGCTAACTCATAATGTGCTGCATGAAATGCCTAAATTTGATCACCTACCACAAGTAGTGTTCCTCTGTCAATTTTCCCAGTTTAACTCTGTGGTTAAACTATGGAATTTACTCGTACAGGAGACAGGGAAGGTCATCAACCTGGATGGCTTCAAAAGAGGATTAGAGGAATTCATGGAGTTAAATTCTATGAAAGACTACTGGCCATGACAGGTCTGCTTCCACGTTCAGAGGCTGCATGCTTCCATATGTTGGTTGTTGGAAGCCACAGAAGGGGATAGTGCTCTTGTAGGTCCTGCTTGCGGCCTTCCCACGGGCATCTGATGAGAACAGGATGCTGGACTTGGTGGGCCATTGGGCTGCTCCAGCAGACTCAGCTTATGCTTGGTAGCCCATCTCCCCACGTTCATTGCGATGCATAATCAGTCCGTTACTTTCAGAGCTGCAACAATTTACCTGAATTTAATGCTAAATCTTGCCATGCAATGGTGTGTGATATTGAAAATGATAATCAAGGTCATTTTTGAGAGTGGCATTCAGCCACTTCTTCTCTGTCACTCTGTGTGCAATTGATCTGGCATGGGTGCCCACTTTTTACACACCAGTGCCAGTACAGGTAAGAATAATATTGCAGTTGGCTATGCCAGGTTTGTCTCTGCTTATCTTTCCGCTTTAGCTACAGCGGTTCATTTATTTAAGATAACGTCTCACTTTTACGCATGTGATTTATACCTCTCTGCCTCTCAGTTACAGATCTTTCTTTCATTCCATTTTCCTGTCTTGATATAAGATGGCTGTTTTCCTTTGTCTTTCTTTTCATTTTCTCATGCTAAGCATTTCTAAAGCTGGTAAGTTGCCTTAAGTAGGCACTCAAGCTGTTCCACCTTCTTTTTCTTTATCATGTGAGGGTTTTTGGGGGTGAAGGACCTCTGTCCTACCCTACATGTATTCATTATAAACTCTGAAGGCAGCCTATCATGTGTTCATTGTGCTCCTGTGAACATCTGAAAAGGGGCCTGAGTTATGCTACAATGTCTTTCTCCTCAAGTGAATCTCTTTTGATTCTTTCATTCATGCTACCACACCGTATTGTAAAAATGTATCTGTATGTTTCTACAGTCCATATTTTCTTGTCAATCTATACTTCTACGGCTTCAACTGGCATTTGTTGTATTAGCTAGCTATTTTATTATTTATTTATTATTACATTTATATTCCATTTCCCCCTAAGTAACTCAAGCTGCCATACATGGTTCTCCCCTCTTCCTATTTTATCCACAAACAACCCTGTGAGGTTGTTTAGGTTAAAAGACAGTGGTTTCGAACACTTGAAATGTTGCAAGGTCTCACACACAGACACACATACCCCACAGCACAATAAAAATTGCTCCATATTATATACATTGGTACACTTTTATATGTTTCCACATTGAATGCTGTCTGTTCACACCAGTGGGTGGAGCAGTTTTTACACTTTACAAGGTTGGTTTCCTTACAACTCCTAACCTCCCTACTCTGAAAACGTCTCCATGTGGTTGCCATATTTACAGCTACACCATTATATATCTATCAGGTACAATATCCTAAAAGCCTAGGACAGAAAATGTTTGGTTTTTTTAATCATCTTTGTAAAGTGAACATGATTGGATCTCTGCCCAACACATCTTTCATTATACTTTGAAGAGGCAATAGTGGCTTATCTTAACCAGAGATTATTGGCCTTACATAACTGGACAAATTTTAAAATTAAAGCAAAGTTTTTGGTGTGAACATACATGAGCTAAATGAGGTGGCAGGGGTCACTGCTGCCTCAGTACCGTGTCTGCCAAGGAATTCAACTGACAATGAAATTCTCTCAAGCATTCAGCTGTTCCACTAATATATTCATTTCATTTCCTACCTCTCAAATGAAATAGTCCTTCTACCCCATAAACATCTTTTAGGATTGTTTAATTTTGAAATGTGCAGTTGTATCTATGCAGCTGGGTACTTTCATGGTGAAGGAGAAGATTTGCAACAAGAGCTGGCAAGAACCATAATGTGCATACCCCTTGGGCTTGTCCTCTTGCAACTTTCTGCCATGTCTTCTGAATTGGTTGTGCATACGTATGTTATGCATGGGACAATGTAGCCATGCTCTTTAAAATATTTAACAGATAGATTGGTGAGCATTATCTTAGCTGAATTTTACTTTTGGTCTTCATTGGCAATGGCAGTTTAAATTGTTGTGTTGTGCACAGAGATAATTAGTGACGGGGGTTGGGCTCCACATTCTGTAAATAATAAATAAACAAAACTATGCATACTGATGGTAGGAGAAAAGCAACTGGGCAGTATCTCTCTTTAAAGAAAAACATGGTTTTGCATAAGCAAGCCTGTAATTATAGCACAAACATCAATGAAAGTACTTGGGCAGTAATTTCTTGCATTATATGCCACACAGTAGAAGCTGAGATTACTAAACTGAGGTGGAACTGCATGAGAATTGAATGGTGTGGCACCTTCAAAGTCCTGTAACTTTAATGGAGTTCGAATCATAGCCCCAGATTTCAACACCATAGAGCAGTGGTTTTCAACCAGTGTGCCATGGCACCCTGGGGTGCCTTGAACGATGGTCAGGGGTGCTGTGGGCAATCCTAGCCTCTATCCCTCTTCCTTTCCTCCCTCCTCTGATGCCCTTTCGCGTCTCTGTACCCCCACAGGCTTGGCAGCTGTTTGTTGCAGCAGCCCTGGCTACAAGCTCCCCAGGCGAATGGTGCCTCTGGGGCAGCCCAGGGGGTGTTTCCCAGGTTCCTGTGGGGCAGTGTGAGGGGGCACCTCTCTTTGGGGCAGGGGGGCAGCTCAAAGACTGGGGGGCAGCAGCGGCTTCACCGAGGACTCCAAAAGAGAGGGGAGAAGAGAGGAGTCTGAGGGAAGACATCACAGGGGAGGGTGTTTGAAAAAGGGTGAGAAGCTACTAGCTCTGCAGGCAAGGGGTGACAAGCTGGGCTCCTGAGCAGGGCCATCTTAAGCATATCAGGCACCGTGGTGCAAAAGATCCCTCCGACCTTTTTTAGGAAGGTTCCCCAGAGTTGTTGACCTTTTTTTTAGGGAGCTAACACCACGCTTTACACATTATCTCTGAAGCCCTTGGAACAAAATGAAATGAAAAGGCAGAAGAAAATCTAATAAAGTCCTCAATTCCAAAGCAAGACTCACTGAAGACTCAGCAGTTCTTCTAATTCATCCTCATGATTCAAATCACCACATATCAAAAAGTTAAAGCGATCACCAGTTTGTTGTTCTTTAAATAAATTAATGAAGACACAGACAATGAAGTTCCCGGCCAATTTGTGTTTAAGTACAAAGCTGATGTTTTCAAATATTGTGGGGAGTGGGGTGGGTGTGGGTGTAAAGCAGTGACATCCTGAACCTAAAAAGGACCCAAAACTTCAGTCACAAAGGCTGCAGCCCTGACTGCACTTACCTAAGAGTAAGCCGTGCTGAATCTAATAGGACCTTACTTCTGCATAGACAGTAGGACTGCAACAAGAAGCACAGTTGGGAATTAGGGCTTTCTGTTTTAAGTCTCAACCAGAGGAAAATGTAATATTGGAGATTAGGGAGAAAGGAATATGAATAGATTGGGGGGAGGGGGCGGACAGGAGACCAAAACCACAGGTAGCAAGACAAGGCACACTTTCTGGGGAGCATGTCTCACACACAGTTGCTTGGGGTGAGGACTGCAGAGGGACCATAGTTGGGTTTTGCATGTGTGTTTTTCAGAAAAACGTAGAATTGGAAGGGACCCTGTGGGTCATCCAGCCCAACCCCCTGCAATGCTTTTTAGCTTGCATTGATCTCAAAAACCTTTGCAGCCCAGGTAGAGGAGGAAGAAAGTGGGCAAATTGGGGGGCGCCTCTCTTCTTTGCCATTGCCTGCCTCCCTCTTCACATAGGGCCAGCCGCTTCACAGCAGAACAGAGCATGAGGCAGCAACTGAGCAAAGCCAGGCGCCTGGGTGCATGCGCCACTGCGTCAAGCGAGGGTTCGTGCGCCGCTGCTGCTGAGCGTTGGCTCGGTTTTTCCCCTTTTAGCCTTCTGGCGCCCTGTAATAGAACTTCCTCATTGCCCCTATAGTTTTATGTGCTTTGACTTTCATTGCCTAAATATGACAATTCCAAGCAAGGGTTTCACTAGAGTACACCCAGATATCTAAGTGAGCAAGTTTGTCCTATAGCTTGCACCATTTAAATCTAGGGCTGTGTTTGCTAAAAATCATAATCTTGGTCTTAGAGTAAGTTATAGATACCTTTTCCTGTTTACAGTATGTGCTGATCACTTCCAAGAGTTTTTTGAGGTCCAGCCGGGAAAGGGAGAGGAGCACTAACTCATCTGTCTACATCAAGACTTTGATCTTTCTATTCCTAATTACTGGAGAGGTGAAATTTTCTTCTTCATCATCATCACCATCATCTTCGTTTATTAATAGCTTGCCTATCTGGCTGGGTTTCCCCAGCCACTCTGGGCAGCTCCCAACAGAATATTAATAATAATGATAAAAAAGCGATGAAACATCAAACATTAAAAACCTCCCTGAACAGGACCGCCTTCAGATGTCTTTTAAAGGTCAGTTGTTTATTTCCCTGACATCTGATGGGAGGGCATTCCACAGGGAGGGCGCCACTACCAAATCATTAATATAAAAGTTTTTAAAAGGGGGAGCCAGGACGCAGCCTTGCTTCACCTTGCCTTTCACTGTCTTTAACCAATGAGTGAATTCAGAGGTGCTACTGATGAGTGTTTGTTTCGGACACTAGGCAACAGTAACCCACGGAGCTCTAAATATCTGTTTTGCCTTTTAGTGCTTTATTTGGCAGGCAAAATAAAGGACAGGTTGGTGAGGGGGGGGTGATTGAGGGCTTAAAATTACTTTACCTGGTGCAGAAATGATTTCAAACAAACAAACAAACAAACATTAAAGGGGAGAAGAGAGGGCAACAAATTCTACTTCTCTTCCTCAACAGAGCTTTGCTTCCAACCTAACAGGGTATGCAAAACCCTTCAGAGGGAGCTGTGAACCAGGATTTATTCAATTGGGGAAGGGAAAAAGAGGATAGGAAGCAAGAGGGATGTGTTATTTTTGCTCCACAACCTTTTGTGTCTGGATTATTTATACTTCTTGAAATATGGCAACCCTATTTAATATAGGGTTGCCATATTTCAAGAAGTATAAATAATCCAGACACAAAAGGTTGTGGAGCTTTGGGGGGGGGGGGCGATTGCTGTTCACTGTCTGCCTGATCCCTTACCCAAAAGGATCCAGCCCACCCTTCCACTTTGGCACAGCCTCAAAATGTAAATAATAATAATAAAATCAACCAACCACAAAAACCTGGACATTTCATGTAAAATGTAAAAAACATTCCCCCGGTCCCCCCCAAACCTGGGAAGTCTCGAAGCAACAGATGTGGACGGACTGCAATAATGTAGCTAAGTCAAACGTGAGCCATTAAAAGTCTCTCTCAGACTTGTTTCTGGCTCCACACAGTCTCAACCCCAAGCTCTGTTGCACTCCCTGGCCGCTGAGGGAGACAGGGCAGAGGATGGAGGCTACTCTCTCCTCCATAGCCCTCCGTAGACATTTCATTTCCCTTCCTTCCCTCTCTCGAATCTCCTCAGGCTCCCTCCTCTCTCTCGGGCCTTCAAGTCTCCTCAGAATCTCCTCAGGATTCCCTCCAAAATCTTCTGAGGGAGAAGCCTTCCCTCAGCCCTCTTCTGCAGTTGCACCAGGTCCCTCACAAGCGGCTGAGCCACATGAGCGTTTTTTGTCAATTTTAATCACAAGCTCTTTTGACTACTTCAGATGAGAAGTGTGAAATAAATAAAATTATTATCAACAAAATTAAGCTCAACGGCCGAGGCTTAGGCTAGTGGTTCGTGTCTTAATATAGAAGCACACCTCTCCCTCACTTTATATTCATTGAGACATCAGATTTAAAAACAACACCTTTTCTGTCAGGTGTTTTTTTGGGGGGGAGGGGGGGTCGAAAGGTGAAGACATATTTGACCTTCACCACTGTTAATTGTGTTATTTGTTATTTTGTTTTTACCATGTGAGCCGTTTTGAGTCACTTGACTGTAAAACAATGCAACATCATTTGCGTAATTTGTGAGAATGTTTCTTCCTTATGTTCGCTTGTATATATCGCCTTATTTTGTTGTCCATCACTCTGAGACCATTTCTGGTGAATGCAGTATAGAAATATAGTAAATAAATAAAGACTAGGAATTTTTTTGTTAATAAGTAACATGGAATGCTCTCTCCAGAGAGGTTTAGCTGGTGCCTTCATTATATATTTTGACGCCGGTCAAAAATCTTCTTTAACCAGGCCCGATTGGCTGATTGATATCTGATACCCGATAAAAATGTGTGACAGAAGGGAGGATTATTGGGTTTTTCTTGTTTATTTTTATTATGTATTTTCTGTTTTTATATTGTGATTTTATGTTGTGAGGCCTGCAGGTGTAGGGCAGTATACAATTATTAATAATAATAATATTAAAGATTGCTGCATTCAAAACATTTGTGGAAAGAAATCAAGGGTTGTATTCAAAGTCAGACCAATTTAAATGGGCTTATGCTGCACAGAATATAGTTGAATATAGAATAAATGGGCTTATGCTGCACAGAATATAGAGAGAAGGCCTTGTAGACATTTTGGCAATTTGATGTAAGATCTGAGGGAAGCCACATGGGATTCAATTGTGATTTGTTGTTATTTCCTTAAGCTAATGGTATTGTGTCATGTGTAATGATTGCTTATATTTTTTTCTAAAAAATAATAACAAGAGACCTGGGGGGAAAGGATGGTGGGAGTAAGCGCTTCAAAATATATATGGCTTTTTTTCCAGAGTGGTGAGTTTCTACCTGACACAAAGGCCACAGCATTAGAACGGGGTACACAATGTCTTCAACTTGTGAATCAATTAATTTTGCAGCAATACAATTAAAAAGGCAAAGTGTTGTGATGTAATAACATATTTTTTATTTTACGGCAAAGCAACCAGTGTTCACGAGTCTTCCCTTACCCTGGGTTACAGTAAAGGCACCCAAAATCAACAGAAAGAACTACAGTTAGCAGACAGGTTAAAAGGAAGTTATGGTTCACATTATGAAACCTGATTGGTAATAAAGTTATGAAATTTGTAGAAGGAAAGCGTAGCGGCAGGCACTGAAGATTGTTCTCAGCGGATCCAGCTTGTCAATCTGAAAACAGTAATAAAAAATGAGTGAAAAAGGGTTGGGTATTTCCTACACGTGCATACATAAATTTCACCTTGTTTGCTAGTTAATGACGCCAGCACAAGAACACCACATCAAGTGTTAACATAACAGGTGAGGCAGCTGCACTAAACATTTGGAGCCTACGGGATGAATAAGATGCTTTTCTTTCACAGAGACTCAGGCTTAATTCCTCAACATCCTGACTAGGGAATGGGACTTGATGAACATGGCAGGAATTTCTTCTGAGGAAACAAGATACAGGGTTGCACTGCACTTTACCTGCATGGCTCTTCTTTTAAAACAGACTTATCTACATTTCCAAGTTACATTTTTTCACATATCTGAAGAGACATGGGCATGTGTATTGTAAGATGCATACAAATATTTAGGGAGGTGACAGGAATAGCAGGCTGGTCTTGTGCATACATTTTTTGTTGCCTGAGGCAGAGCAGCAAATGGAATTGCTCCCCAATTCAAGGTTTAAAGTACCCAACGATACCCACCTTAGGTAGAAAAATCATCCTAGTGTGTTTCCCTCTCCCTAATTCTGGTCTCTGGGGCCAGAACTTGTTTTTTTTTAAAAAAATAATGGATAAAACAAATGATCCCCAAATCAAGACTTCTTCTTTGTCAATAATTCCTGTGGAAGTCAGTAACTGAGAATCAGATATACATTGTGTCTTGACAAGACTCAGAAATATAACTTTGCTTATGCTTTTTATATCATTATCTATTCAGGTTTTTATACGTATAAATATTTCCCTCTGTGTATTAAAACATTGCTCTGCACAATGTTTAAGCCCCACAGCACCTATGGACATGCAGTAAAAATTCAGGATCAGCAGGCTGTCATCTTGACATCAAACCTGACCCAAGAGGAGATGGATATGTGTAATAATATTATTTCCATTAATTTCTTGCCCACCCTTCACCATGAAGTCCCTGGGTGGGTTACCGCAACAAAAAATACAATATTTAAAAAGTTACAAGGAAATACAGACAAGAGAATATGGTACTATAGGTGGAGGTTTTCTTATTAGGTTCACAACAGTATAACCCACCCTGACACCCTCCAGGTAGCATTTAGGATTCACACCTAAATGCTTGATAGAAACTTCTGGTACAGAGAACAAAGTATGGCTAACAACAAATCTATGGTTTTTATTTGTTCTTTGGAGCTACAGCTATCTGAAATATGGGATCACCTTAAAATGGCACCGAGAACTAATGCTCTGAACTAAAAGATTATTCTTCAATCGAAGGAAAATGTTATGAAAATGTTTTATGATGGTACATTACACCGGTAAAATTAGCAAAAATGTATAAGACATGTAATAAGTGTTGGAAATGTAAAGAAAAAGAAGGGACGTTTTATCATATGTGGTGGGAATGTAAGAAAGTGAAAAGTTTCTGGGAAGCGATATACAATGAATTGAAAAAGATGTTAAAATATACCAGAAGCTTTTCTTTTAGGGATTACAGGAAAGGAAATAAGAAGAAAGGATTGTAAACTTTTTCAGTATGCAGTTACAGCAGCAAGAATTTTATTGGCCCAGAAATGGAAACGAGGAAATACCGACGATAGAAGAATAGAGAATGAAACTGACAGATTATGCGGAATTGGATAAACTAACTGGGAAAATTAGATATATGCGAGACCAAAAGTTCATCGAAGACTGGGGAAAGTTTGTAGAATATCTGAAAAGTGTATGTGATGTGCAAACAACGCTAGTGGGGTTTCAAGAAGCACTGTAAAAGTTGAGATGTATTGTTAAAAAGAAATAGAAGGGGGAGGGAAGACAAATGGCAATACAAATGAAGGGAATGCGTACTGAAGAGATAAATATGGATGATTGCCAGAGAAGCTGAAGGAAGTCCAAAAAGAGATAATTTGTTAAAATTTGGATAAAATTGTATAATTGTGTTGGAAAATTAATAAAAATTTATTTGGAAAAAAAGGATTATTCTTCAACTCAAGTTTTGAAACATGCATATTGCAAATAGCCATCTATATTAAGCAGCTGGTATTTCACATTTTGCATTCCACTTCTTACAATCATTGCCAATAGTCCTATATACCCACACCCCAAGGTAACCCATATACGAACGTCTTTGGACAAACTAGCATAGTTTAGTCTCTCTTGGTGCAAAGGCAGCATCCTCTGTACTCACCTGAGTGTATTTCCCAGGTTGAATGGTCAGGTTTATGGTGCCTGGAAAAACAAAATGCAGGCAACCATCTCAGACCAAGTGCAAAACAACAAGAACGTTGATGCGCTTGAACTCACGGGGGGGAAATCACCATGTAATTGCTAGAAGGAGTGGGTGAGGGTGCATCATTAAGTCACTATTTTAGAATGCACTTGAAAAGATTAAGTAAGAGGCTACTGAGGACATCAAGTGGATCCTACAAATGATTGCATCCTGAAAAGGTACAGGAAATATTCAAGCTAGGCTTTTGGGGAGGAATGGATAGGGCAATAAGGGCATGGACATATAAGCATGTTGTAAAACAGGGAAAGTACACATTATAATAAGAAACAACTAGATCTGAGGAGAATCTGCTGTTTCTTTTTTGAGTGGGTGTCAGGAATCTTTCACCGAGTGCTTCAGTTTGAATGGGAAGTTTGCTTTTAAGAAGTCAAAGTATTTGGGTAGATTACAAGATCATTTCGAAATATCCATCTATTTCAAGCTTTAATTCATAAAGATTTAAAGAGAGCTTGAAACAGAGGGGTCTTTCAAAACACAAAACCTTATTTTGTACTCCAAAACACTTCTTTTCCGTAACCACTGCAGATGTAATATTAATAACTTCCTGCCCCACAGCAGAGCGGGGGTGATTGTGTTCACAATTACAGCTGCTGTGAATGACCATTTTGTTCATCAGGTTTTATACTGAATCATTGCAGGCTGTTCTTTTTTGCATTTCATTGTCATGTGGCTATATTTCCCATATCCCCTTCCCCTTATTGCCATATATGTAACTGCCAACTGAAGATAACAGAGGCGCCAGGTTGCCCCCAAGTTTTAGGGGGGTCTGGGGTGCATCACGTGTGTGACATCTGGAGGAGCTGAGCACTGAAGCTGCCACACACCCACACACGTGCTGGGCGCCCTCAAACAAATATCAAGGGGGCTGCATTTGCTAAAGTGGAGTGACTCTAACCAGTGCGCCACAATTAATCTCAATAAACTACTACTATCCCAAGCTGATGTTATTATGCTCATATTCACAGGGCTACTTGAACCATGAGCATCCAGTCTTCCAGCTTATGCTGTTAATAGCTGCACCTGCCAGCTCACCTAAGGGGTAACTGAGCCACATCCAAATCACTTGTATCTCTTTGTTGGCTGCACAGTCCTTGCAGTTGGAAAGGAAAGTTTCTCTCCCAGTAAAAAACTGAATTTGTACTTCTGAAATTTAACTTTGTGTTCTCTGGAAAGTTACAATGGCTGTTCGCTGAAAGCTATAAAAGTGCATTGTACTGAGCTTTTCCCTGTATTACTGTACTTCAACGCTACATAAGAGGGTGAAGGAAAAGAAAACCAAACAAGTGCGCTTTCATTTCGGAAATGATGAATAATGAAAAGAATGCACTCCCGTTTATGTCTAACTTGTTTCTAAGTGAAAGCAATGAAAACACATTAATTAATGGTTGAAATTAATTTAAACGATTCTGCTTCATTTCTGCCATTGCTTATTTATAGGAGGCATTCTTAAAACTGACAAGAAGCATTGCATTGTATTACTAAGAATGTTCTGTGGGGGGAACAGAGACCCTGAAGAACTCTGAAAGAGGCAAGACATAACACAACCCTAAAGCTGGTATACTTCTTTTCCTGAGTAAGAAGACCAAACTTAGAGGATATAATTCCTGACCAATCATTAAATGCAAAAAACCTGAACATGATATATTTATTTCACATATATATGCAGCAATTTAAAAATTAAATATATAAGTGGTAGCCAATAAGAAGTATAAACATGATTAAATGAACTTATGTACATTTTAGTACAGTGCCTAATAACTTAAATTGTTCTGAGCTCTAGCTGTGCTGACTGGGGCAAGACTGGAGGGCTCAGGATTTGCTGGTACTACCAGCACAGATTCCCCCTTCCTCATTGGACTGCTCAACCAGGATGCAAAATACTGCTTCTAGGAAATTAATACTCACAGGTTCCTGACTTTCAAAAGGTGGTGGAGGAGGCTGAAAGAGAAAAGGAAGGAAATGGTTCTATTTCAATGCAATGCAAGAGATGTAGGATCCTGTTTGTAGGAAATTAATACTCACAGATGGACTTCCGGCAGGTGGTGGAGGAGGCTGAAAGGAAAAAGGAAAGAAATGTTTCTATTTCAAAGCAATGCAAGAGACGCAAAAATCCTGTTTGTAGGAAATTGATACTCACAGGTTGACTTCCGGCAGGTGGTGATGGAGGCTGAAAGGAAAAAGGAAAGAAATGCTTCTGTTTCAAAACACTGCAAAATATTTAGAATACTGTTTGTAAGAAATTGATACTCACAGGTTGACTTCCACCAGGAGGTGGTGGAGGCTGAAAGAGAAAAGGAAGGAAATGCTTTTATTTCAAAAACAAGTTGAATGATGTAAAATCCTGTTTCTAGGAAATTGATACTCACAGGTGGTGCATTTATTCCAGCTGATACCGAAGTCTGAAATAAAGGAAGGGAGGGAACGTTTGCGGTCCAAAACAATACACAAATATAAAATACTTATTGTAGGAAATCAAGTGCTTCTTCAGATTACTTGTTTATTGAGTGTTCATCCTGATTTGCTTCTTCAAAGCTTTTGCGAACTTTGCCTGGCCTTTATTGAGCATTTGTTCTGATTTGTCCATAGGGCAGTTAAATGATAATGAGCATTCATCTTGCATTTATCCTGGTTTGCTTCCCCCCCCCTTCATCTTCCCATTTATCATTTCTTCCTTGCATTTCACTTTCCAAACCACAAAGAGTCAGGGTGTGTTCACATTAGCACCTTAAAGCATTTCACAGCACTTTCCATCTAGCTGTTGACATGAGCATGGCTTAGTTTCATAGGAATGGCTTAATCCAATGATCCTGAAACTCGTTTGAGAAACATTGCATCAAACGGCAATATTTCACAACAAATTACAGGGTGCCCATGCATTTAATATAATGTCATGTGAATGTGGAATTAAAAAAACCAGCACTGGGAATGAAGTGAATGTATGTATGATAAAAGGAAGTGTGGACACAGCCTCAAATTCTTTCATAAAGTGGATTTGTTGTGCTATAGAAAAAGAGGCCTTTAATGTACATTAATTACTCTGAGCTAAAATTCCACTACATGCCTGAATCCCTCCCCTCCTGTAAAATACTGACAGTCCAGAGGCACCTTTCACAAGAGGTGAAAGAGAAGGGAATGGGAATGCTTGCAAATCTGATTTGTAAGAAGTTAAGGTTGCAGCCAGCCTCCTTATTTGGCATTCAACCTGAACCATTTGCAGAAAAGTCATGGGGATGTTGGAAAACAACATCAGTTGCTTATTGGGCAAAACATGTAGAATCCTACTTGTAGGAAATGAATACTCACAGGTTGATCATTTCCACTGGGTGGAGGAGGAGGCTGGAAGAGGAAAGGAAGAAAATGATTCCATTTCAAAAACAATGCAAATCATGCAGAATCCTGTTTATAGGGCATTCATTCTGATTTGTTTTCGGATAGGTAATAAAACATTGGGTCAAGCAAGTGTCACCCCACACTTTTTCTGTTACTTTCCTTATTGCAAAAAGTCCAGTTTGCACATCAGTGGGGGAAAGATTCCTCTGCAAGGGCATCAAATCAATTTGTGCCACCTGAACTTGTCAGTATGTGAGTGAACCCCATTTAGCATTGGTCTGGAAGTAGCCTAATACTTACAGGCTGTCCGTATCCTGGATATGGCTGAGGATCCTGAAAGAGAAGGGGAAGGAAATTCTTGTACAGTGGTACCTCTGGTTACGAACGCTTTGGGTTACGAAGGCCGCTAACCCAGAAGTAGCTGCTTCTGGTTGTGAACTTTGCCCCAGGATGCAAACGGAAATCACGCGCCAGAGGCGCACATGCAGCGGGAGACCCCATTAGCAAAAGCGCACCTCAGGATAAGAACGGTTTCAGCTTAAGAACGGACCTCCGGAATGAATTAAGTTCATAACCAGAGTACCACATGCAAATGATGTAGAATCACACTGGTAGGAAAATAATACTCACTTGTGGTCCATATATTCCTACTGATGCGGAAGACTGAAACAAAGGAAGGAAGGAAACGTTTACATTCCAAAACAATACACAAATACAAAATATTTTTTGTTGGAAATCAAGTACTCCTCCAGATGACTTATTTATTGAATGTTCATCCTGATTTGCTTCTTCAAAGCTTTTGCGAACTGTGTCTGGCCTTTATTGAGCATTTGTTCTGATTTGTCTGTAGGGCAATTAAATGATAATGAGCATTTGTCCTGCATTCATCCCAATTTGCTTGCCCCCCCATCTTCCCATTAATAATTTTTTCATTGCATTTCACTTTCCAAACCACAAAGAATCAGGGTGTGTTCACATTACCACCTGAAAGCATTTCACAGCACTTTCCATCTAGCTGATGACATGAGCATAGCTTAGTGTCATAGGAATGGCTTAATCCAATTGTCCTGAAACTGGTATACATCAAATGGTAATACAGAGGAACCTCAGTTTTTAAGTGTCTCTGAAGCCAAATGTTTCGGTTTTCGAACACTGAAAACCCGGAAGTAATTGCTTCCGTTATCAAATGGCTTCCGAGGTGCGTTCTCAATTTTCTCCATTGAAATTGCAGACCGCCCATTGTGCCTCAGTTGTCGAATATTTCGGAAGTCAAATGGTCTTCCAGAATGGATTACATTCAACACCCAAGGTTCCACTGTATTTCACATTTCAAATTACAGGGTGCCCATGCATTTAATATAATGTCATGTGAATATGCAATAAAAAACCAGCACTGGAAATGAAGTGAATGTATGATAAACAAAAGTGTGGCCACAGCCTCAAATTCTTTTATAAAGTGGATTTGTTGTGCTATAGCAATAGATGCCTTTAATCTACTTTAATTGCTCTAAACTAAAGTTCTGCTATGTGCCTGAATCCCTCCTGCACATACTGACACTCCAGAGGCACCCTAATTCAGAAGAGGAGAAAGAGAAGGGGATGGGAATGATTGCAAAACTTATTTGTAAGAAGTTAAGGTTGCATCCAGCCTCCTTATTTAACATTCAGCCTGAACCATTTGCAGAAAATTCGTGGGGAGGTTGGAAAACAACATCAGTTGTTTATTGGGCCAAACATGTAGACTCCTGCTTATAGGAAATTAATACTCACAGGTTGATCATTTCCACTGGGTGGAGGAGGAGGCTGGAAGAGAAAAAGAAGAAAATGCTTCCATTTCAAACACAATTCAAATGATGCAGAATCTTGTTTCTAGGAAATTGATACTCACAGGTGGTCCATATGGTCCATATGGTGGCGGAGGCTGAAAGAGAAGGAAGAAATATTTGCTGGGCATTCATTGTGGTTTGTTTGCTGGGAGGTTATAAAATAGTGTGTCAAGCTAGTGTCATCCCACACTTTTCCTGTTACTGTCCTTATTGCAAACAGTCGAATTTGCAAAGGGGTGGAGGAAGGAATGTTGTGCAAGGGCATCAAATCAATTTAATTGTTCATCCTGAACTTGTCGGTATGTTACTGAACCCCATTCAAAAATAGCATCAGTTTGGAAGTGGCCTAATACTTACAGGCTGTCCATATGCTGGATATGGCTGAGGACCCTGAAAGAGAAAGGGAAGAAAATGCTTGCATTCCAATACAATTAAAAAAAACTTAAAATCTTTTTCTAAGAAACTAATATTCACAGGCTGTCCATTTCCTTGATTTGGTGGGGGAGGAGGCTAAAAGAGAAAGGGGAGGAAATGTTTCTATTTCAAAAACAATGCATGTTGGTAGGTAAATAATTTGGTTCAAAATCGGAAAAGGAGTACGGCAAGGCTGTATATTGTCCCCCTGCTTATTTAACTTATATGCAGAATTCATCATGCAAAAGGCTGGGCTGGATGAATCCCAAGCCGGAATTAAGATCACCGCAAGAAATATCAACAACCTCAAATATATAAAAGGATGTCATATAGAGGAGGGAGAAAGGTTGTTTTCTGCTGCTCCAGAGAAGCGAACACGGAGCAATGGATCCAAACTACAAGAAAGAAGATTCCACCTAAACATTAGGAAGAACTTCCTGACAGTAAGAGCTGTTCGACAGTGCTGCCAAGGAGTGTGGTGGAGTCTCCTTCTTTGGAGGTCTTTAAGCAGAGGCTTGACAACCATATGTCAGGAGTGCTCTGATGGTGTTTCCTGCTTGGCAGGGGGTTGGACTCGATGGCCCTTGTGGTATATTCCAACTCTATGATTCTATGATTCTCAGATGTGCAGATGACACAACCTTGATGGCAGAAAGTGAGAAGGAATTAAAGAACCTTTTAATGAGGGTGAAAGAGGAGAGCGCAAAATATGTTCTGAAGCTCAACATCAAAAAAACGAAGATCATGGCCACTGGTCCCATCACATCCTGGCAAATATAAGGGGAAGAAATGGAGGCAGTGAGAGATTTTACTTTCTTGGGCTCCATGATCACTGCAGATGGTGACAGTAGTCACAAAATTAAAAGACGCCTGCTCCTTGGGAGAAAGGCGATGGCAAATCTAGACAACATCTTAAAAAGTAGAACATCACCTTATCAACAAAGGTCCGTATAGTAAAAGCTATGCTTTTCCCAGTAGTGATGTATGGAAGTGAGAGCTGGACCATCAAGAAGGCTGATCGCCGAAGAATTGATGCTTTTGAATTATGGTGCTGGAGGAGACTCTTGAGAGTCCCATGGACTGCAAGAAGATCAAACGTATCCATTCTTAAGGAAATCAGCCCTGAGTGCTCACTGGAAGGACAGATCGTGAAGCTGAGCCTCCAATACTTTGGCCACCTCATGAGAAGAGAAGACTCCCTGGGAAAGACCCTGATGTTGGGAAAGATGGAGGGCACAAGGAGAAGGGGACGACAGAGGACGAGATGGTTGGACAGTGTTCTCGAAGCTACAAACATGAGTCTGACCAAACTGCGGGAGACAGTGGAAGACAGAAGTGCCTGGTGTGCTCTGGTCCATGGGGTCACGAAGAGTCGGACACGACTAAACGACTAAACAAAGGTAAATAATACTCACAGGTTGTCCATATATTCCAAATGATACGGAAGACTGAAAGAAAGAAGGAAGAAAACATTTGCATTCTAAACCTATAGACAAATATAAAATACTTTTTGTAGGAAATCAAGTGCTTCTCCAGATTACTTGTTTATTGAGTGTTCATCCTGATTTGCTTCTTCAAAGCTTTTGCGAACGGTGCCTGGCCTTTATTGAGCATTTGTTCTGATTTGTCCGTAGGGCAGTTAAACGATAATGAGCATTCATTCTGTATTTATCCTGGTTTGCTCCCCCCTCCCTTCATCTTCCCATTTATCATTTCTTCCTTGCATTTCACTTTCCAAACCGCAGAGAGTCAGGGTGTGTTCACATTACCACCTTAAAGCATTTCAAAGCACTTTCCATTTAGCTGTTTACATGAGCACAGCTTAGTGTCACAGGAATGGCTTAATCCAATCGTCCTGAAACTCATTTGAGAAACAATGCATCAAACGGTAATATTTCACAACAAATTGCAGGGTGCCCATGCATTTAATATATTGTCATGTGAATATAGAATTAAAAAAAACCAGTACTGGAAATGCAGTGAATGTATGATCAATGGAAGCGTGGACATAGCCTCAAATTCTTTTATAAAGTGGATTTGTTGTGCTATAGCAACAGATGGCAAAATATAAAGAATCCTGCTTTTAGGAAATTAATACTCACAGGTTGATCATTTCCACTGGGTGGAGGAAGCTGGAAGAGAAAAGGAAGAAAATGCTTCCATTTCAAAAACCATGCAAATCATGCAGAATCTTGTTTCTAGGAAACTGATACTCACAGGTGGTCCATATGGTCCATATGGTGGTGGAGGCTGAAAGAGAAGGAAGGAATGTTTGTTGGGCATTTGTTATGGTTTGTTTGCTGGGAGGTTATAAAATAGTGCGTCAAGCTAGTGTCATCCCACACTTTTCCTGTTACTTTCCTTATTGCAAACAGTCCAATTTGCAGAGGGGTGGAGGAAGGAATGTTGTACAAGGGCTTCAAATCAGCTTTAACTGTGCAACCTGAATTTGCTAGTTTGTGAGTGAGCCCCATCTAAAAATAGCATCAGCCTCGAAGTGGCCTAATACTCACAGGCGGTCCATATGCTGGATATGGCTGAGGACCCTGAAAGAGAAAGGAAAGTAAATGCTTGCATATAAAATAAAAAGACTTAAAATTTTGTTCTAAGAAACTAATACTCACAGACTGTCCATTTCCTTGATTTGGTGGTGGAGGAGCGGGCTAAATGAGAAAGGGAAGGAAATGCTTACATTTCAAAAACAACCCAAATGATGTGAAATCCTGTTGGTAGTAAATTAATACTCACAGCATATAAATATACGGCTGCTCCTGGATTCTGCTGAGGTTGTTGGGGAGGCTGAAGAAGAAAAGGAAGGAAGTGTTTGCATTATTTTCATTTCTGAGAAACTGGTGTTTAAATTAAGGGTGCAGCTAAACCTATGGATTTTACCTCCATTTGTCTGCCATTTGTTACTTACATGATAGGCCAAACATGCGGAAGGCAAGTCCCAAAGAAATACGGCTATACTTGGTGTTCATAACATTTGTTTTTTACTATTTCAGATTCACTGTGAACCCTGTTTTTTGTACTTTTTCATTTTCCTTTATTTCATATTCCTTACTGGATTGTTATTTTAGCTTCATAATAAAGTCTTGATTTAAAAAAAATGATGCAACAACCGCTTTTTTAATGATGAGTTCTGTGAAGAAGTTCTGTGACGGGTATCATGCAAGAGTTTGTAAAGTGAGGGGTTGCCAGTGACATGTACCAGAAAGTAGGGGGCATACCTGCTTAATAGAGTCAATTGGAGCATGTTATTCCAAATAAATACTTTAGGCAAGCCCAGTCTAAATATAAGCACCCAAAGAAATTTGGATTCCCCCCGCTTCAAGGCTGGATTCCTTTGCCATATAACACAGTTTTTACTCCAAAAATGAAATATCCTGAGGCATGAGGAAGTGATGGATTGCTGCCTAACAAGTCCAAAGGCCTCTTAGGCACATGGAAATAGCTTTTCAACTCTTTGGATCATGTGCAGCTCTATGGCTCTATGACATATATATATGGTAGCTCACTTAGCTACCACAGGATATGAAACAAGGAGGCAAGCCAAATTTGTCATACTCACCTGCTGTTGGTAAGAACCAGCATTACTCTACAGAAACAGTAATTTAAAAAGTTTTGTTAGTTTTCTAATAAACGTTTGTTTGATTTTTTTTAAAAAGCATGGCAGAAGTCTAGGCTTATATAGGCATTAGGCGCGTGTGTCAGCCACAAGATATGCCTTGTATCTTTGGGAAGCAGCTTGATCTGTTTCAGCGTCTTTATAATTCAACTTGGGATCAGGACCAAATAGAGTCTGTTAAAAGCAAGGCCCAACTTTTCCCCATTCACTATAATAGGTGCTATAATAGCTGCTATAATTCACTATAATAGACACTATAATAGGGGAATCTAAAAACAGCTATGTTTGTATTTTCACCCCTTTTCAAGGCAGCAGATGGAATTTGCAGGCATATTGTACGTGCACTTATACTCAGTATAAGGCAGTGGTGGCCTCTTGAATGATCTTCTCATGCATAGGATTTTATTTTATTTTTTTTAAAAAGAACTCCAACATTTTGTCCCTAACAGTGTACATATAGTACATGTGAATTGGTCGTAAGAAAAGTAATAAACAAAGAAGCTACCCACCTGGAACGGCCATTGATAGCGGTTATTCTTGAAAGAAAAAGATAAGAAACAAATGAAGAATTAATTACTTCAGTTCCTTAAGAGAGCTATTATGAAAAGATGGAGGTATTCTGTGTCCTGAGTTCTCAAATCCAGGAGGTGGAGAGATGGGCTGTTCTGGACAAGGTTGCACTCTCCTAGAAGCAACAAGTCCATAGCTTGGAGGTTCTCCTGTATCCAGTGGTCTCACCGGAGGCTCAGGTGGCCTCATTGGCTAGGATTGCCTTCTCCAGTTTCAGCTGGTTCCCCAGCTCTGGCCCCATTTGGCCCACTATGCTATGTACTCTGTTAACTTCCAGGCTGGACTGTTGTGATGTACTCTAGATGGGGCTGCCTTTGAAGACGACTTCATTTGGTTCAAAATGAAGCCAAATTGCTGGCTGGGGTTTCATTTAGATACGAGCCCTGTTGTACAACATCGGCATTGGTTGCCAGTTTGTTCCCAGCCCCAAACGAAGATGCTCACACTAGTGTTTAATGCTCGAAAGAACTTGGGCCCCAAATATCTGAAAGAACACCTTCTTCCTTACAGTCCCTCTCAAGTATTAAGTTCTGCAAAGAGAGGCCTCTTTGTAGTTTCATCACCTTCAGAAGCTCAGTGGTGGTGGGCGAGAAAAGGCATTCTCAGACCATGGCAGCCCCTAAGTTCTGAAATTCCCTCCTCACAGAGGTGCATCTGGTGCCTTCACTAAGCAGTTCTTGAAGAATCCTGGAGACACGTCATTCTACCCTTGTCTTGGACACTTGAGATCTATATTTTTGGGACCCACTCTATCATTATGATTTAAATTGTTTTTAACATTTTTTTTCAATTTCTGGGACCTGCCCTAGGACCTTGGGTTGGAGGGCAGGTAATAAATAATTTTCTTCATCGTTGCTTTCATTAAATGGGGTTATTTTACCCATTGTGCACTGGTAAACCTGAGTTCCTCACCAACGCTTTTATAGCCATTTCCCCCCTGAATTGGTACCATTTGTCCTCTCAGATACTCTGCAAAATCCAAACAATACTGGTCGCAAACATTTTAATCGCATATTGCCTTCCTATATTTTTAAAAATACTCATTGATTGTGATTTATTTGGGTTCAGACAGTATTGCTGCAGTACAATATTTGTATCACAGACTGGTATAGTACCTTGCCTCCTCTTGCTATCATTTTGCCCAGTGCCTTTTTTTCAGGGGGTACTCAATGGTACCTCTTTTTGTTGTTGTTAAAAAGTGTGACACATACCGTAACAACTTTGCGGTGAGTACCAGCACCTATTATTCTAGGGGGAAATGCGCCAATGTTGCCATATACAGTACCTTGTCAGCAATCACCAGTCTTTTATACAAAGATTGTACTGCAACATAAACACTATAACATCTAAACAAGTCTGGCAGCTTTTCCAGAGGATGGCTGGAAAAATTGTGTACCTTCTGCCCACTTGTTATGTGAGATCCAATACCTTTTCTCAAAGAATTTGATTTGAGAGCTGCATATACATTTCCAATTACCGTGAACTAAAATCAAACAGATTTTTGATCCCCGGTGTGTGTTTGAATGTTTCAACCGCAGCATCTTTGGCAAACCGATTCCCTCTGTTCTTTTAGAAAGACGCAAATGCCCAATTCCTTTGCCCGCAGCCAATTCATTGACCATGCCCAGGAGTATCAAAGTCAACCTGACAAATCCAACACATCCGGTGACCGTGGCGGTATGTGACCTTTTCATTCTCTGGGACAAAAAGCTGTGGAATTGCTTTAGCTGCAAACTTAAGAAGAGAACTGGAAGGCTCTTCACATTCATGCCAAACCTTGCTTGCCTTTGGAATAGCAAAATTGTGAACATCCTCCCCCCCTGGCAGTACTTACATTTTGAGAATTCTTTCTAGAAAACGCTTCCTATAAAATAAAAAGGGGGGCAGTAGGAGTTACTTTAAGTAGCACTTCATTAAAATGATTCCTAAGGTAGCAGAAAGGTGCCCATTATTTCAGGGCCCATTGGGTTTTCTGTGGATTCTGTTTCTTCTGATTCAGCAGGAGGTTTCCCCAGGGAAAGCGGCGGAACAAAAACAACAAACAGCCACCTCTCGAATTTGTGACTTGAAATCACTTGAAATCATGGGACAAATGAAACTGTGGATGGGCCCTCAATGACAAGAAATAGATCTGTCATATTTTCTGAGAACAAACACCACCCATGGTTGAATAACTCTACCCAGGAATTTTGCTTAGGCAGGAAACATCTGTCTGGCTGTGTTGGAGACATGGGGTTTTGTGTGCTACCCCTTTCCCACTGTGGTAACATTAAGACCTGTTGAACTACAACTCCCACCAGCCTCAGCCAGCACAGCCGTATTTATGTATTGGAATGACTGGTTTAATTTCAGTAGGTTGCTAGAAATTCTTAACTTTTACAGATTTAGCTAAAAAATTTATACATGCAAACCTGAGAATCAGTCTCATTGAACTCAGTGGATCTTAGTATTAATTTTAAGTTACAAAATGCATAAATAATTTGACGTATGCATGCTTGCATGATTTGTGTCTGCCATTGTTAGTTTTTGTTGTGGTTTTTGATCAGCTGTGTTATAGGACAAATACAATGCCGAAAATAGGTTACCGGTATTTCTGAGTATTTTATCTTTGACCCAAAAGTTTACATGGGTACATACATGGCTAATCAGAGATTTAAATCAAGGTTTCACTACTCCAGTTCTGTCATTCTATATATCACACTGGCTCAAATCCAGTCCAGTACCAATGTTCACACACACACACACACACACACACACACACACACACACACTCCGTTACTCAAACCCTTGGCTCAGGATGAGACACTGAAATTATATGAATCTGTTAATATAGAAAGCATTTTCCATATACTGTACTTACTTTCACTCTTTCTACGAGCTCCATCTATAAGGAAAAAGGAATAAATTATTCAGAGTTTCTTAACTTTGTAATTGCGAACAAGACATCCTTCTGGATCTCTTGGTGGGTTTTGTTATCACTAAATATGGTTACCTTCTAGATAGAGGGTCTTTGGGGATTAGGGGTACTGTATTTCAGCCATCCTACTCCAACGTAGATAACATATCCCAGAAGGCAACACTGAGGAATTACTGAGGAATTCCATTATACAATGGGACATTTCAGGATTTCACAGTGGTCTCCAACATCTATGTACAATAGCTGAGCCCTACTTCTCAGAACAAATTGCTGGGTTTGCAATTACTTAACTCTAAGTCTGTGTCTTTTGCACCTAGTTCTATTTGGTGGGTCTTGGGATTCTAGCGGAAGCAAAGCCACGTCTGAGTTAGAGGAGCATTCAGATGTAAACTCCACCCACCACTTGTAGCCTGAAGTGGTACAGCCCTATTTGATTCCACTGAATGTATAAACTGCCCCAGGGCCGGCGGTGGGAAGAGAGTTAAGGGGTGGCTTATGACGTGATCTTATGAGAGTGCTGGAGGTGAAATAGTTAAACAAGTTACCCAATCAGAACCGGGGGGGGGGCATGTGGAGTCAGAGGGATTATAAAACCATCTCTGGGGGGAAGGGAGTTCGTTGGGAATTGGGTGGTTGGTTGGAGTGGGAGTGAATTGGGATAGAGCTAGTGGGTAAGGTTGAGTTAGTGTAGCGAAATAGCTGAGTCAGGAACAGTTAGGAGCTAGGAAGACAAGTAAATATCTGAGACGTTGTTTAGTGAGTGAGAGCAGGTAACGGAAGTTATAGTGGATAGGCACCCTATGATTGTAATTGACTGATACCATTTATGAAACCACACACTTGTTAAACTGCAATAAATAAACAGAACTTTATGTTCCAATTTAACCCTGACTGGACTCAGTATTGTACTAGGTAGGGCCTGGGTGGTGGCAGCAGAAAAAGTGGTGGCACAGGGATCAATAGATGGTGAAACGTCCGGGGACCCTGTGTGATCGCCACATGGTTTATATCCACTCATATTACATTTTTATCTCACTTTTCTTCAATGAAGAAGGTTCGTTGCTTCAACCCTCTAAGGTAGACCAGGCTAAGAGAGAAGTCATGTAGGGAGTACTGTGGCTCAGATTTGGATCCTGGTCATCTCACTTCAGGTCTTGACATGCTGCCTGGTATACCAGACTTTAAATATATACAGTATGTATATCTTAGCCCAGTAGCTGTCTTTACAACTTTTCATTCCGCTTAACACGTCTCAGTATTGGGCACTAAGATTATATGAAACAACCAGAGAAGAAAATCCTTTCCATTTACTTACCGGCATCTCGAATAATCTTTTCATCTGGAGGGGAAAGAATGTAGGTTATTCAAAGAGGAGAGATGCCAGACATGGGGTTAAGATGGTAAACTCACATCCAGAACCAAAAATGCAGCATGGGGACCTGCCCATACTCTGCGTTCTACAGCCAGGCCATTCATAACTTTAGGCAAAGTGAAGTAGCCACTTCAGACGTCAGGTCTTGGGTGTCACAAAAAGGTAGAAATTGTTGGTAGAGGAGGGAGAGACACACACCTGGTGCTCTGCCTCAGCCAGGAAAATGTCTATAGCAAGCCCTGCCTAAGGCCCCGATCCAGCAACTCGTACAGCAAGGGCTGCGATGCACACCTGAAAGCCAGGTGGGATCTTCGACAATATGAGAAAGGAGAACCTCAGTGTAGCCTCTCCATCTCCAAAGCTGCCAGTTGGCTCTAAGGATAAATATCTCAAGGACGCTACATGTGTGGAATCAGACGTGTACGTTGTGCACAGCACCACGTAAGTATTGCATGCTTACACACACTGAGCTAGCAAGATGCCCCTCCTAGGACATCCCTGGAGGAAGGCAGGGGTCAGTTCCTCCATTTAGAATTTCAGCAGAAGGGTGTTGGGCGTCAGGTAGACCCCATGTTTGTCTCAACAACTCTCCCCAAGCAGCCCTACAAGAATACCAATGAGCTTAAAACTGTGGCAATTGTGAAAACAAATAGCACCATGACCCACCAGAGAAGGAAGTAACAACTTCTGCTTTGTACATGTTAGCGACTTAACAGTGAGGTTATTCCCACCCACCCACTGTGTTTCAAATCACATTAGCACATTGCTGTACACGCTAAAGAGGCCAGGATGTCTTCACCCAATGCGCATTCTTTGTTTGGCATCCCTGCTGCTTTAAGCCCACTACCTCACTCCTATTCACTAAGCTGTCACCTGTGCATTCACAACAGCTGCCCCAAAATCTAAACAGCCCAGCTTAGGTGCAAAGGGCATGTGGCTGTCATTTTCAAATCAGATTGAAGATGGTTTGAGAGGAGGTGCGTCAAATGGCAGTATGTCTCAAGAAGCTACAGGACAGATATGGGGATGTGGCTAAGGTCAAAACAGCAGCGGGGGTGCAATCAAGCCAGAGTAAATGGCACTGTGTACACAGCCCAGGTTTCTCTCTTATGGCTTTTTAAATGGGAATTTGCCACACATCATTGTGTTGTGCCCACTCTTTCTTAAGGTATAGGTGCATATTCTGTTCCTATCTCATCTGCCAACAGACCACTAGCCTAGAAAATTTTCTTCTGGGACGCTCCAAAGGTAAAATTCTACGCCCAATGTCTTTTTGGACTAAGTTACATTGAACTCAGTGGGGCTTACTTTATTTATCTATTTATTGCATTTGCATCCTGAGGGGGAATACGTAGGATTCCATTGTTAGAGTGCAATGGGTTCGAATCTCCGCAATGGAGTGAGCTCCCGTTGCTCTGTCCCAGCTCCTGCCAACCTAGCAGTTCGAAAGCACGTCAGTGCGAGTAGATAAATAGGTACTGCTGTGGCAGGAAAGTAAGTGGTGTTTCCATGCGCTCTGGTTTCCATCACGGTGTTCCGTTGCACCAGAAACGGTTTAGTCATGCTGGCCACATGACCTGGAAAACTGTCTGTGGACAAACGCCAGGTCTTTCGGCCTGAAAGCGAGATGAGCGCCGCAACCCCATAGTTGCCTTTGACTGGATCTAATTGTCCAGGGATCCTTTAACTTTACCTTTTACCTATAAGCACATATAACTTGGGAGCTGTATTGAGATCAAGGGGACTGGGATATAAGTGTCAACTTAACGCAGAAATCACAATGTCAGGTACATTTTTTAAAAAAAGCATCTTACCCAATTTGGGCTGTCGTCAGTCTACAAAAAAAGGAAAAAGGAAAGAAAGAAAGAAAGAAAGAAAGAAAGAAAGAAAGAAAGAAAGAAAGGAGAAGTTAATTGATATTGTTGCTCTCCACATCAAAGATGAAACTGTTTAAGTGTACAGATCTTTGAGCACACTCTTAGTTATTGGAAGCAACCCCCAATAAAATTAAAAGAGCTTATTATGTTTTGGTCATAGAGCTGAGCCAGAATTCTTCAGAAGGTTCTTTTTCCAAGAACATTTTTGAGATTTATTTTTTTCTCACCCACCCAAGCTCAGAAAGAGTAGGCCATTTTGCAGAATTTTCTGCACACACTTTATCAAGTGTTAAGAGGCCATCTGCACACAACTCTAGCTTACCATCTAAGGAAGGCCTACAAAAGTAAGTCCATTAACTTCAATCTCATCCTATTGTATTTATTTTGTTGTTTCGCCTGTTACTAGCCTGATACGATCTTTGCATATTCTCTTTAGTATGTGCTCTTTTACCTTCCAAAATTACAGTTTCAGGGGGGGTTTGTTTTTAAAAGGGGGGGCACAATTAACTCGACCTATTTACAGTGGTACCTCAGGTTAAGTACTTAATTCGTTCAGAAGGTCCGTACTTAACCTGAAACTGTTCTTAATTTGAAGCACCACTTTAGCTAATGGGGCCTCCCACTGCTGCCACGCCGCCAGAGCACAATTTCTGTTCTCATCCGGAAGCAAAGTTCTTAACCTGAAGCACTATTTCAGGGTTAGCAGAGTCTGTAACCTGAAGCGTGTGTAACCTGAAGCATATGTAACCCGAGGTACCAGTGTAGTGGCAATATGTTGCATACAGTGTCTTTTAAAACTACAGAATTTGTATTTTTGTTGTGTTGTTGCCTTTCAATCTTCTGTTTGAGGGACTCTCAAACCAGTCCAGTCCAGTTTAAAGGAAAAGTACTGTTAAAAGGGAAAGCAGATATTTTGAAGTAGCCCACAGACATCAGACTGAGCAGACACACAGGCCACCTGGTCACAATCTTCCCCAAGATTGTGATCTCTAATTTCCAACTCTACAAATAAATGATCTCTACAAATAAATTAGAGAAATGATCTCTAATTTCCAACTCTACAAATAAATTATGCAGGTCTGTATCATCTTTTTGTGTGATATGTAAGTAGCAACCTTAGCAGAAGGCATTGTACCCAGGATTATACATGCTTAACTTAGATCCAATAACTGAAGAGGGAAAGAAAGGACACAATAATTCTCTCTGTGTGTCCATGTGCATGAATATGAAAGGGATGGATCATAAGCTCACATATTCAAGGTGCTGGTCCAAAGAAAGGACAAGGAGAAGAGATTACAATCAAAGAAACGAAACCTGTCATACCTGTTTCCTTCTGCCGAACCAACCAAGCTACAAGAAGGAAGGGGGGGGGGGAAATAGATGTTATTTTTTTCCTATTGGCTTCCGCATGAGAAATTAAACTGATACAACCTTTGCACATTTCCCCCTGCATGTGCACACTTTCTCCTCCAAAACATACAGTTTCACAACCAGAAAAAAACGAGACTTATCACAGTCACTTGGCATAAACTGCTGAAATGAAGAAACCTGAAGCTGTGGGGGCGTGGGAGGCAGGGATGGATTTGTGAGTGGAAGGATGGTGAGCACAGTTATACTCAGAACTGGGAGGAGCCAGAAGTGGAGGCAGAACAGTGCTTACCAGACCTCCTGCCAATGGCATTGCTGTGTCTTACCAGAGAGAAAGGGTTGAGGTGGCAGGGAGGTTGGCAGGAGCTCCAGGTTTGCTCAGCTGGTTTGTTTGCATCACACAGTTCTCCCCTCTCCCTTGCAGTCTCCAAGTAAGGTGCAAGTACACTGGCAATAAGAGGTCAGGTAAGTTCCGTATTTTTTGCTCCTTAAGTGTTATGTACTGAAGTTCTCACCCTGGGCCAGCAGGGGGATACTGTAGATAGTTTTCACTCAGGTCCACGTCAGTTATTTTAGGCGGGAAACACTGGGTTGTTGTTGCTACAATGTTGACAGCCGGCTGCCTATAAAAGCAGGCCAGCTGAGCTGTTTGCTGTTCAGTTCTGTTCCAGCTTACAAAATAAAGAGCTGCTTTGGAGAAATTGCTGTGTCGTCTGCCATGTCTACCCACTATTCAACAATAAGACTCACTTTTTCCCTCCTAAAAAGTAAGGGGAAATGTGTGTGCGTCTTATGGAGCGAATGCAGGCTGTGCAGCTATCCCAGAAGCCAGAACAGCAAGAGGGATTGCTGCTTTCACTGCGCAGCGATCCCTCTTGCTACTCTGGCTTCTGAGATTCGGAATTTTTTTCTTCTTGTTTTCCTCCTCCAAAAACTAGGTGTGTCTTGTGGTCTGGTGCGTCTTATAGAGCAAAAAATACCTTGCCTCTCTGCACAGACCACTACTGCTCAGAACAAATTCTGAGATGTGGAATTACAGTTGTACCTTGGAAGTCTGTTCGACTTTCAAAACATTCGGAAACCGAAGTGTGGCTTCTGATTGGCTGTAGGAAGCTCCTGCAGCCAATCGGAAGCCCCATCGGACATTCGGCTTCCCAAAATAGTTCGCAAACCGGAACAGTCACTTCCGGGTTTGCGACATTTTGGGAGCCAAAACGTTTGGGAACTAAACTGTTTGACTTCCAAGGTACGACTGTATTTATTTCTAAGTGCCTGCCTTTGGTGCTTGGTTCTTTTTGGTGGCTCCTGCGATTCTAGTAAAAACAAAGTAGATCCCAACAGCCTAAACTAGGCTTCCTCAACCTCAGCCCTCCAGATGTTTTTGGCCTACAACTCCCAAGATCCCTAGCTAGCAGGACCAGTGGTCAGGGATGATGGGAATTGTAGTCTCAAAACATTGAGGTTGAGGAAGCCTGGCCTAAAGTCTGCCAATTCCCAAGTTAGAGGATCATTCCAATTTAACTCTGTTTCTCAAAGAATCCTGCCTAATTCATTTATGATGCTGATTTTATATTACAGCTTGTGGTGTGATGAACAACATCCTAATTGAAGAGCAAAGAACATAGTTTTCTTCTCTCTTCACCTTCAACCAACCAAGGAGAAAAAAGTATCCCAGTCTGATTTGGTCCAGGAATGTCCTATTCCAAAGCTAAATGGGGACAAAGCTTTCCTCTTAATGTTCACATATGTTAAGATTAATCATGCATCCCTTCGTCTCGGCCTTTGACCCTTGAGATGTATGCTTTATTATACATTTTTTATGTATGCAACAACAGCAGCAAGAATACTCATAGCTAAACATTGGAAAACTCAAGACTTGCCCACGCTGGAAGAGTGGCAGATGCAACTGATAGACTATATGGAATTAGCAGAAATGACTGGCAGAATCCGTGACCTGGGAGAAGAAGTGGTGGAAGAGGATTGGAAGAAATTCAAGGACTACCTACAAAAACACTGTAAACTGTATGAATGTTAAGATGATGTAAGAGTAAGAATAAATGTGGCATCAGTAAGTTAGTTGATAAGAGTTTGAGAATAGATGAGATTTGAGAAAAAGTTAATTTATTTGTTAATATTATGCCTATTTAAGTATTTAAGATTTTGGAAAATAAACTTAAAACTGGAAGACATAAGATGGGAAAAATATAACTAAGGAATTGAAACAAGGTGATAATTTGCTGACTAGAATCTTATGAATTTGGAAAGCAGGAACGAAAGACGAGAGGAAGTCCAAGAGTGATGAAAATAAGAATTTAATGATGATGTAATAACTTTTTCTTTTTTCTTCTGTATGTTTTTCTTTGTTTTTTCTTTTTTGGTTGTTTATATTGTATTGTTGGGGAGGGGATTATGTGTTGGTGGATAAATGTTTTGAAAATTCTGAATAAAATTTTAAAAAAAAGAGATGTATGCTTTCAGGACTCATTCTATACTGTAGCTTAATTGCTTTTAAGTTATGAATTTTAAATTTGGGGACTGGCTGGAGATGGCTGGCAATGCATTTAGTAAAGTTCATCATCATCTTCTAACCAGAACAGCTTACATGTGACATGTTTTGCAGTTTCTTGCTTCAAGTTGTGACATGCTAGTAATTTGGCCCAATACTCAACTTCACCTTTCCATTCAGCTAATCCGTTTCAGTATTAGATATCGAGGTGATAGGAAACACCCAGAGAAAAAAGACCCTTCTGTATACTTACTGGTGTAAAATCTTGCCACTAGAAGGGGGAGGGGAAACATAGATTATTCAAAAAGGCTTTTTTGTGTGTGTTTTCGTAAAGCGCTTCACAATTTATTTGTGGCATATAGATGGGGAATGCCTCACACAACCATGCATATTGGAACCTCTATGGCAACTTCTTCCAAAGAAAAGAGGGGTTCTCATCTATTTGCTGCCCTCATTTTTCCTTGCAACTCCCCTACCCCTGCCTTTCTCGCTTTGGGGTTTCCTGTATCCTGAACCACTTGGGCAGGAAAACACCCCACACCCTAGGAGCCAACTCCTAGGGGCTGTGGGGACTTCGTCCCCCACCATAAAATATTTGAAGGGGCCAGGGCCCTACAAAGTTGATGGGCATTCCCATTCAAATGATTTGTGTGCACTGCGTCATTTGATAATGTGGGGCGGGGTTTACCTGCCCCCCCCCACAATATTTTATTCAAGTTGGCGCCCCTGCCCCCCTCATCCTGCCTTAATCTGTGCAGCTTTCCCACTTTGTATTCAATAGAAGAGGGGGAGGAGGAGTTTGGATGTGATATCCCGCTTTATCACTACCCGAAGGAGTCTCAAAGTGGCTAACATTCTCCATTCCCTTCCTCCCCCACAACAAACACTCTGTGAGGTGAGTGGGGCTGAGAGACGTCAAAGATGTGTGACTAGCCCAAGGTCACCCAGCAGCTGCATGTGGAGGAGCGGAGACACCAACCCGGTTCACCAGATTACAACTCTACTGCTCTTAACCACTACACCACATAATAGCCAGGGTCAGCCCTACCATTGGGCAAAGAGGGGAAGTCTTATAGGACGGGTGGAACACCTAATACTGCAGCAATCATCAAAGCAGTTAAGGCAAGTTAAATCCATCAGAAAGAAGTCATAGCTAAGTCCCATGGAAATCAGTTTAGATCTTAAGAGATAGGAAGCTCACATTTTGCTTTTTTTACAAGGGGAGCTCTTCATGAAGCATTGTACCTTTTATTTCTTGTGATGCGTTGTATCCACTACTTCTCATTATGTATGTGCACTCTGGGTCTTTCCTGCCTGTCCCTATCACATCTCTTCCCCTCTACAGACCACTAGCCTTTACGTTTTTCTCTTGAGGTTTTCCATTGATGCTCTGAGGGTGAAATTATATACCCCAGTTTGCTGTCCCATTGAACACCATACATTTAAAGCACACGTTCCCGACCAAAGAGTCCAGGGAACAAACCTTTACTCCGCACATAGCTACAATTCCCCGTAAAACTTAATTCTACAATTCCCAGGATTCTTTGACAGGGAAAGAAGTGGTTTGAATGTGCTTTAAATATATGGTGTGTACGCAGCCTTTTGTCTGTGTAGGCACCGATGCATAGGATTGTGCAGCAATTCATATATTAAGGATGCAATCCTATAGATGCTTACCTGGGAATAAGCCCTGCTGAAAAACAGTAGGACTTAATTCCAAGGAGATATGCATGGGATAGCATTGTTAGAGCATGGTTCTAAGCACACATGCCTTCGGAGCTGCATCGGAATCAAGGGAACTAGGATCTCAGTGGCATTTTGACGCAGAAATCACAGCCTCAGGAAAACAAAAGTTATTTTACCCATCCTTGGTTTCTGTTTGACGAACTCTACAAAAAATAAAAATAAAAATATTATTTGATCTGGTTTGTGTCCACATGGGAAAATAAACTGCATAGGTGCACAGAGTCTTAAGCACACATTTATTTTTTGTAACCAAATGGGCTTATTATAAAGATATTATTATTATTATATTATTATTATTATTACTTCCAAATAAACCTGTTTAGGTCACAGAGCTGAGATAGAGTTCCTTCGGGGGCGGGGGGCATTATCATGAGATTTTAATTTTTATTGAGATTTATCATTTCCTCCTTGAAAAAGAAGTCCACTTTGTAAATTTGTCTCCCTACTCTATATCAAGTTGGCATCTTCACACAGTTTAGTAGCAGCCTGCACTTCTAAGGAAGGCTACATGTAGTCAGTTCAAGCCAAAAGTCTTATCCCATTATGCTTCATTTAAATGTTTAGCCCTTATTAGCCCGATGTAATCTTTATACATTTCAACACGTTTATATGCACACTTCCCCCTTCAAAAATTACACCTTTCACAATTGAGAGAAATAAGACTTCTGTCGCTCATCATCACCCGTGGTCAGGGCCGAAAACAAAATAAAATAGACATTATTCATTCCTGTTGGCTTCTGTATGATAAATGGCATGGAATCTCAGGCTCATAAACACATATCCCCAGCAAGAATTGCCTGAGCATCTGAGAGACGTAGCCCCAAACAAGACTGGATAGCTGAACTGGTTAGAGCGTGGTGCTGAAAGTGCCAAGGTTGCAAGTTTGATCCCCGTATGGGACAGCATCAGGGGACTGGATGATCCTAGGGGTCTCTTCTAGCTCCACAATTCTATGATTCTAAGACATGATATTAATTGCACAAATGCAATTAATGCCTGTGGCCTTGATCCCGCTGAATGTTTAAGCAGGCCCCAAGTAAAAAGCAATGGTTTGTGTACACTTATGTTCCATCTTCAGCTAACCCCTGTTTCACTTATACAAGATAGCCAAAGAGAGTAAAAAGCTGCTTCCATATACTTACTTGTTTTCTGCTGCCTCCAAATATTCCTGCAAGCTAGAAGGGAAAGGGACATCAGTTATTCAAAGAGACTGGATCTTCTTGTCCGGCTCCAGCAAAAGAAGAAGCTGAATTCAGGCTCCTCCTGAAAGGAGCCAGTTGGCTCAATGGTCAGAGATCTCGTGAGCACTGTATGTGTACAAATCCAACACCTGAACTGGCCAGACAGCATTGGTTCACAGCACCAATTTCCACATGAATATCACATGGTTCCACATTCACCTAGCAAGCTGCATGGCAGAGGCGAGGGCAGGGGGTCAGTTGCCCCATCTAGAATGTCAGCGGAAGGGTCCTGGGGTCATGTAGATCCCAGATGTAAAAGCATTTCTTCATGTTTGTCCCAGCAACCCTTCCCAAAATCGCACCCTTGCAAGAACAATAGCACAAAACTGTGACGACCATTAAAACAGTTAATGCCACAGCCCAGCAAAAAGGAAGTCACAACTAAGACCATTGAAACCAAAGGACTCTTAGCTATTCGTATACAGAGCTTTTTCAATGGGGATTCATCACAAATTCTTGTTGGGTTGTACCCATGGGTCTTTTATGCGTGTACCTACTCCATCTCTTCCCCCACAACAGACCACTAGTCCTCATACTTCCCTCTCGCGGCTTTCCTTTGATGCTCTGTGGGTGATATCCTGTTCCTGGGAACAAGGTCCATTGAATTCAACGGGTCTTACATCTGAATAGGCATGCGCAGGATTGTGCATTGGGATGTATGTTTAGCCTAGAATCCTATGGACACTGACCTGAGTATAAGCTCCACTGAAAACAATGGGACTTAAGCTGTGTGCAAACTATACCTTTAAAGAACACTCAATGCACCGTAGTTTGCCGTTCACAGAAATGCAATTCCCAGCAAGGCCTTAACAAAGTACAGTGCTCAGAATTCCTTGAGGAAAAGAAGGTGCTTTGGATGGGCTTTAAAGGTACAGTGTGCAGACAGCCTTGCTTCTGAGGTTATGCATAGGACTGCATTGTTAGAGCACAATTCTAAGCGTGGGAGTTGAATTAGAATCAAGGGGACCACAATCTTAGTGCCAGCTTGATACAGAAATGACAGCCTTAATTGAACAAAATGTATTTTACCAGTCCTGGGCTTGACTGCTTCGAAGAACTCTACAAAAAGGAGAAAAAATGCAAATGTTATTTGATCTTGTTTGTTTCAGTATGAGAAAAGAACCTGCCTAGGCACCCAGACCCCTTAGCACACACTGATTCTTAAGCACACAATGGGCTTTTTAGTTTCAAGTTTAGGCCATAGAACTGGGACAGAATGTATCAGAAGATGCATTTTCTGAAAATATGTCTGAGGTGCATTATTTTCTCCCCCTTGAAAAAAGTGTCGGCCACCCCCCAAGAAAATTCCATTTGCACACAGCTCCTGGAGTAGCGTCCAAATCTAAGGAAGGCTGCAAGTCCTCCAGCCACATCAAGATTCCCATTCCATTATTTTTCATTTAATGTTTAGTCCCTTACCAGCCTGATAAAGTCTTAAGACGTTTTACTTATATGGACAATTTTCCTCCCCAAGTTACAGCTTTCACAATTGGAGAAATGAGATTTATACTCACTTGTCTTTTGCCGCTGAACTCGTTCTACAAATAATAGCAGTATTATTATTAGTAGTAATAGTAGTCATGTAAAAATTCATCATTTGTTTCTGTTGGCTTCATAAGAGAAACGAGAAGCTCAGGCTCATACGCACAAACCCCCAGAAAGAATTGCTTGCAGAATCTAAGGGTCTTGGCCAGAGGCTGGACAAAATACTCATTGCACAAATTCACTTGAAGCCCATGGTCTTTTCTTATGTAAATAACAGTTCCAGAAAATCCTGAACAGCAGTGCTAAAAAGGGATGGTTTCCATTCACTTATATACTATTTCAACTGGGAAACACTGGCCTGTGAGCGCTCCAATTGGAGAACAGCCTTTACCAAAGGTGCCATGAGTTCTGAAGACACTCGAACACAGGACGAAAGGGAGAAACGTGCTAAGAGGAAGGCACGCTTGGCAAACCTTCACCATGATCAACTCCCATCCGGAAACCTATACAGTGGTACCTCAGGTTAAGTACTTAATTCGTTCCGGAGGTCCGTTCTTAACCTGAAACTGTTCTTAACCTGAAGCACCACTTTAGCTAATGGGGCCTCTTGCTGCCACCGCACCGCCGGAGCACAATTTCTGTTCTCATCTGAAGCAAAGTTCTTAACCTGAAGCACTATTTCTGGGTTGGCGGAGTCTGTAAACTGAAGTGTATGTAACCTGAAGCGTATGTAACCTGAGGTACCACTGTCTCCTTACTCTGAAAGGACGTGTAGATCCAGGATTGGCCTCCACAGTCACTTACGGACTCACTTTTTAAACCGTGTTTATGGAAGACAATCTTACTCGGCTACAAGTGATTGCAGAAGAAGAAGAAAGGAGAAGGAGAAGGAGAAGAAGAAGAAGAAGAAGAAGAAGAAGAAAAGAAGAAGAAGAAGAAGAAGGTGGTTCCATTTCATCCTGCCTTCCTTCGAAAAGCTCAGGACAGGCTAACTAATCCTCCCTATTAATCATCATGTCAACCCTGTGAGGTAGACCTGGCTGCACAAGAGGTCACACAGGGAATTTCCTAGCTGAGATTTGGAATCTTGATACAAGTATTGGCATGCTACCTGCTAGATGGGAGTGGCTCAAATAAACACACAATCTAACCCAATAGCCAACTTCCCTTCTCTTTGTTTAGCTAACCTCTTTCTCAGCACTGAGATTGTATGAAAAAGCCAGAGAAAGAAGACCCTTCTCAATACTTACTTCTACAGTGTTGATGAGCTCTTCCCACTAGAAAGGAAAGAGACACCGGTTACTCAAAGAGGCTACCTTCTCCCAGGAAAATCCAGCCAGTTCCCTGCCCAGTGCTTGCATCTGCTTCCCACTTGATGCCCTTCCCCCTGACAACCCCAGATTGCTTTGAGCTACCCAGACAGGTCCACAGTCGTCCAGGCCTATCTCAGCCCAACTCAAGCAACTCCCAGTTCCCCTTGAATTGGTTCAGGACTCAGCTGTGGCTGGTGCACAGACCTAAACATCCGTTTGAGACCCGGCGCAAGGAGAATTCACAACTTCATGTAAATAAAGGTTACTTTACCCATGCGTCAACACTCTGTCCACCGTCATCCTAGAAAAATACAAATACAAAATGTCATCTGGTCTTGTTTGTTTCCGCATCAGAAATGAAACTGCTTAGGTGCCGTGAACCTTAAACACAGTCTTATTCTTGGAAGCAATCCCTATGCATATAATAATAATAATAATAATAATAATAATAATAATAATAATAATTTATTATTTATACCCTGCCCATCTGGCTGGGCTTCCCCAGCCGCTCTGAGCAGCTTCCAAAAAAATATTAAAATACTGTAATACATCAAACATTAAAAGCTTCCCTAAACAGGGCTGCCTTCAGATGTCTTCTAAAAGTCTGGTAGTTGTTGTTCTCTTTGACATCTGGTGGGAGGGCGTTCCACAGGGAGGGCACCACTACCGAGAAGGCCCTCTGCCTGGTTCCCTGTAACGGCTTCTCGCAGTGAGGGAACCGCCAGAAGGCCCTCAGTGCTGGACCTCAGTGTTAAACATGCTTGTTGGTTTCAGGTAGATCTGTTTAGGAGTTGTAGCTGACATGGAATCCCTCAAGCAATATTTCACCACTACTAGATTTCAGGTTTGGGGCCTGAAGTCTCAGGGTCTGGGATACCTCTGGCCTGGCAACCCAGTGGATCACTGATTGGTGAGCCTATATAATTGACCCTTGCCCAAAGCTTTGAGCTGGGGTCCTAGGCAGCACTTGTTTGGACAGAGGGATGACATGGAAATCGGTAGGACTAGGATCAGACAGCTCACATGGTTTCTATGAAAAGATAGGGAAGACAGAAAAGGACTTCTCATACTCACCGAGCCAGGGTAGCCGTTTGGGGGAGGAGGAGGAGGAGGGTAAGGACGAGCCCCTGGACTGCCAGAGTAGCCAGAGCCCTGCTACAGAAAGAAAGAAAGAATTGTTGGTTTTGTTTCCACAAACTTCTTTTTAGAAAACAAATGGCACCTCCTCTTCCCAGCTTTTAAAATATCAGTGATGGGGTGTGTGTACACACACACACACGCATATTTATAAAACGTGTTTGGATGGATGAGAGAAACGCATCTTCCTCCCTCTAATTGTAATTTATACTCTTTCCCTTTTCATACTAAAAAGAAGCCTGTTCACAGAAACCCAAGTTGTTGCAGGTGTCCCATGACACTCAATCATTGGTGAACAGGTGTGCTTCCACCTGTGCCAAGGATAGGGAAGCTGTGGTCCTCCAAATTTTGTTGGCCTCTCACTTCTGGCAGCCCCATTCAGGATGATGGTGCTTACAGTGGGCAACACGTGGGTGACCACAGATTCTCCAAAGAAATTGGTTTATTACCAAACTATTACAGCAAAGATGGGACGCGGGTGGCGCTGTGGGTAAAACCTCAGCGCCTAGGACTTGCCGATCGCATGGTCGGTGGTTCGAATCCCCGCGGCGGGGTGAGCTCCTGTCGTTCGGTCCCTGCTCCTGCCCACCTAGCATTTCGAAAGCACCCTTAAGTGCAAGTAGATAAATAGGTACCGCTTTATAGCGGGAAGGTAAACGGTGTTTCCGTGTGCTGCGCTGGTGCCAGATCGCAAGAGCAGCTTCGTCACGCTGGCCACGTGACCCGGAAGTGTCTGTGGACAGCGCTGGCTCCCGGCCTCTAGAGTGAGATGAGCGCACAACCCTAGAGTCTGTCAAGACTGGCCCGTATGGGCAGGGGTACCTTTACCTTTATTACAGCAAAGAGGGCCCAGTGGGGATGGGGAACCTGCGACCTCCAGATGTTGTTTGACTTCAACTCCCATCAGCCCAAGCCAGCATGCAGAAGTAGCTTGTGAGTGGTGGGGTGAAGGCAGTGGCAGTACTGTGCTTGTTGGGTGAGGCAAGACGAGGCAAGGCAGCACGGCTGGGAGACGCCTGGCTTTGCCGTTGACCATGGCCAACCCAAACGTCCCCTGACGTTGCCAACACATTTCCCTTGCCCCATCCCTGTTCCAACAAGCCCAGCTTTTGAGTTAATCTGGTCAGGAAAAACAGGTTATAAATGTTTTGGATGGTAAATAAATAACCCAGTCCCTATTCCCGTTAGGGAGGATTTGTAGTTTGGGATAGGCAAATCTGTCAATATCAGCTTGTCATTTTTTGAAACTTCGCATTTGCAATTTTCGCATTTGCAATTTTGAAACTTCGCATTTGCAATTTTCGAAAAAGTCCTCGTGGAAATGAATCAGTATTTTAGTGCTAGTCCTCCAAATGTACATGTTTGCGTACAATTCTGCTTGACAGAACGTATTTTGTGTGGTGTTTTCACTAATCTATGCATTTCAATGGAGGCATCGGGTCAGCTCAGAGCACACTGATTCCTGCTACACAAATTTCATTCCTGCACAAGGAATATAGTCTCAAGCAGATTCTTCTGGACTTTGGGGGGAAAGGGAAATTGTTAATGCCAGTCAGAAAGCTCCAACTTGCAAGAAAATCGAGCAAGAGCTCGTGAGTGTATCCACCCAGCTGAAATAAGTTAAAATGGGGATATTACACAAGGAGGTCAAAGAAGTGGTCATACTCACTGGGCCAGGGGAGCCAACGTACAAGCCCACCTGCTACGAAAATTAAAAGATAAATTCACTGATCCTGCTTTCTCCCACAGCAATCAGAACTGAATATATGGACAAGCCTTCCCTAAGGTTTGCAAGCTGCCTAGAGGTTTTATGACAATCAGAAGAGTCCTATAAACGTTGTGAAATAAAAATAAATAAAAATGGTAGGGATGAGGAACTTATCACCACAGGGGGCCAATTATTCCCATGGGGGGCGGGTTTCAGGGTCCACAGGTCAAACCCTGGACTGGTGTCCCTGGTTTAGTTTCGTCTAGATGACAAACAATAGGGTGAAGCTTAATCCTGAGAAGATGGAGGCCCTGTAGGCTTGTACTCCCTTGGAAGAACAGTCTCGTGGACTTAGAGTACACCTGGATCCAATACTGTTACTGGAGACCTCAGTGGCAGCTCCTCACCTTGGAATGCCATTATTATTATTATTTATTAAATTTGTAATGCCACCCTATGCTTGCAAGTCTCAGGGCAGTTCTCAACATAAAATCACAATACAGTCATACGTCCGGTTAAAGTCGCTTCAGGTTGAGCGTTTTCAGGTTACACTCTGTGGCGACCCTGAAGTAACGGAATGCGTTACTTCCGGGTTTCGCCACTCGCGCATGTGCAGACACTCAAAATGACGTCATGCACATGCACAGAAGTGACAAATGGCGACCCACGCACACGCAGACGCGCAGACGTGGGTTGCGTTCTGCTCAGGATGTGAACGGGGCTCCAGAACGGATCCTGTTAGCATCCAGAGGTACCACTGTATAAAAACACATAATCAAAATAAAAACAAGAACAACCCAATAATCTCCCCTCCCTGACACATTTTAAAAGGGAGGCTCCCCTGGCACTGTCATTAATATCACACAAGTGACATTTGAGAACTAATAGC